CTGAAGTGTGTGTTGTTGATCTTAAATTAGACATTGCTGCTGAATCATGTTTGTTGTTATTTTCACCTGGTTAAAGATGATTTCCGGTAGACGTGAAAGAGACCACCCCATCAATTTAGCCACACCCCTTCTTTTTCCAAGCCCTGCCCTTGACAGTACGTCAGCCATCCTTATGTCAACAGAAACACTTAAGAAAATAATGAAAAGCATTTGCTGCATTTTTGCCAAGTGCTCTTACAAAGACAGGTGTGGTTTCCCAGAATTCATTTTTGTCACTCTTAGAGGTCTTTCATTCAGTTAAAGGTGCTGTATGTAAGTTTTTTTTCTCTTCTAAAGCATGAAAATACCATAATATGTTTGCAGATGGAGTGAACATCCTTGTTCTGAAAAACAATGCTAAAGTGAAATATTCAGCTTTAAAAATGTGCGTTCCGTGCCTGAACATCTGTCTTTGTTTCGGTCATTTAACCCACCCAATGCCACTATAGCCAATTATATTTCAGCTCGCTGGGTTGTCTTGCTGGAAAACCATGTATTTTATTCATTCAGTCAGGAAGGCTCTCAAACTGTGTGTCCACGACTGAAATGTGACCTGCAGTGGACTGTAGCTGCCCCGAAATGAGACGCAGATTTATACAGTAGTTCCACATGAGGTGGTTATTAATGAGCAAATAATATAAATATTACAAATGTAAACAATAGGTGAGCAGTTTACATTGTAACCCTGTGTCCTAAAAACATGCTATGTGAGAAGATACACATAAACACAACAGAATATTAAACAGCCATTCAGAAGCACAGACTAGTGCACTCACGAAATGGTAAGGTTTATAATCTAATTAATACATATTAAACCTCTTTAACATTATTAAATGTACATGCTGAATCACTGATATGTGTTGTTGTCACAGTTCTAAAGTTCCATTTCTAAGGCCCCGTTTACACTAGTGCGTTTTAGTCTTAAAACGGCGTTTTAGAATGAAAACGATCCGCGTCCACACTCGCGTTTTACCCAGCGTTTCTGAACTGCTCTCCGTCCACACCAAAACGCTGAAAACGCACATCACGTGACCACACACACACACACACACACACACTTTGGCAATCGCTGGAGCCCATCTACCCAGATGAGAGCTCTGCTAGTCGGACTTCTCATCAAGCATCTCCCGCTGGATCTAATCTCACTATATTTATTAAACGTGATATTTCATTCATCTTGTTGTCTTTATCTAACAACATATTCCCTGACTTTGGGCATTGGAATCTATTACTTGTTCTCAGGTAACGTGTTTTGGCTGAGCGCAAAGATAAGTTAATGATTGATGAAACCACGTAGCCTATTATGTATATTGACTGATCGCTTGCCTTTATTTCCTATAATGTATAAACTTATTGTATGTTATACTTTTATAATGGCCATTATCGATTATTAAAACTGATATTCAGCAAAAGAGAGGGTGTGTTTCGTATTTTCACTGAAATTGAAAGGAGGCAGTTGTCATCGGCTCCGTTTTGTTATAAATTTCCACACAGTAAAGATGACGCTCATGCAGCACGGCGCCTCAACATTTCTGCTGTCTGTTTAGTTGTTAATATTAAAATAAATATAGGCAGTTCCTTATATCAAGTTTACATTTTATTGTTGAGAAAGTGAAACAACGTAGCCAGGGTAACGTTAATGTGAATGAAGTTATAAAGTACACTGTTCCCTGTGAAGATTGACGCGTGTCCTCGGTATGTTTTCCATATCAAACTGAGAAGAAGAGATGCAGCCTTGATCAAACTTGCGAAGTCTGAACTTACACGGAGAAGATTCTGGACTGAATTGTGTGTTAGGCTACTTAATATTGAGGAAAAGCCCCAATCAGAGAGGCGAATGTCTGCAGCCCCGCCTCCGTTTTCAGATGTCTCGTCTTTCCCCATCCACACTGAGACGGAGCAGCAGCGTTTCAGAATGAAAACGGCCTCTCCAGCGTTTTCGAAACAATCCGGCGTAGTGTGGACGGATGGCGTAACCGTAGCAAAACTTATGCGTTTTCAAACTAAAACGCATTAGTGTAAACGGGGCCTAAGGGTTTATTTTATTTTCAAGATCTGAGGTGAACTGTATCCTTACCGTTGCCCACAGCTTGATAACGTAGTGGACCAGGTCCACTAATAATGGACGATCGCCTGGGAACCTAGCAGGTAGCATGGGCGTTACCTTAGTGGATGGTAAAATGTCTACTACGTAGTGGACTCTGTCCAGTACGTGATTGTGGCTACAGACTGCAGCGAGGACATCTTGAAAGTATCTGCTACTGCATTTAGTAGTATGGCAATAAATGTCATGTAAAAGGGCATTCAAGCTCACATTATTAACATTTAACACTGGTAATCATAGTCAAAGTTTTCTATTGTTTAGCTGCAAGAAAAAAAGCCATTTCTAAAACAGAGATTTCAGGTGTTGGTTAGAACAAAAACTCCTTTTGATATGGAAAATATTGCCTGTATTACGTGACGTTGCTTTTATTTAGAACATGGTTTAAATCAGCCTTAAATCAGCCTTTGGTTTGACAGTCAGTCAGGCACACTTTACCTGTTGGTGTGGTCAATCTGGCAACCTGCCCTTATTGTGTTTTGAACCAGGTGTACAATACCTAAATCAACCACTGGGTGTCAAACTTACATACTGCACCTTTAAATACCTTTCAACAGGGAAAGTGGATGCCCAACAACCAGCCTTGCTTTCTCTTTTTATATAAATATCTTGTCCACCTACCTTTTATATATATCTGGTCCATCCATCTATGATAATGATTTTGCTTTCTCAGCTGTAGATGAATGGAAAATATGACTGTTCCCCACTTCTTATTGTTGCCGTCTGTGTTTTGGGCATTTATATATAGGACAGTAGAGAGACAGAGGGCCAATGGGATCAAGTCATGACTCAGGTTTGAATATGGGTCCCGTGAGCCAGCTGCTCGTATATATATCATCAGCATGTGTGCTATTCGTAGCTCTGACGACTATTTTTGTTATGATTGCTGACTTTTGAAACATCACCAATAAATGGAAACAAATGTGGAGAAACTAGTGGAAACAAAGGAGAGTTTCATTTCAGGGCCATATGTCAACATGTGTACTTAGGGAGATTTCAAAAAGTTTCAAATAGTTTTTTTTTTATCTTTTTGAAAGAAGTCTCATGCTTTGTGAAGGCTGCATTTATTATCTGGTCTTCAATGTAATATGATGCTCCAGAAAGCCACTCTGATGTGCTGCACAAGAAATGTTTCTGCTTATTGAATCTTGGAAAAGGTTGCACTACTTAATACTTTATAATATGTACTGCAATACCCTAATGCATGTGTTTCAAATATTTATCTTTTGTAAAATTACATTTTCTGTTTTGCAATTATTTTGTTCTGTCAAATCAGTTATTTTCAATGTAGCATTTTAATTTTCTTTAGCTCTTTGTTATGGGCTTTTGTTTATGCCATATTATATTTATGGTATTCATTTTTAAACATGGTTATTAACAGCATCAGTTTGACAGCACTAGTTAACTAGTTGCACTACTCAATACTTTATAATAGGGCTGGGCAATTTAAACATTTTAACTCGATTACATTTATTGACAGTTTATTTATTTTGCCCCTACAGTTCACTGACAAGTTATGTAAAGTAAAATGCTCACATATTACAAGTGAGATATTTTTGAATGAAGAGTGAACATCAATGCTGAACAACTGAAATTAAAACACACATTGCCTAAAACAGGCACTTTTTTTCCTATAAAAATTTAAATAAATAACAACGTGTAACGTCTACTTACATTTTTTTAAAAGGTGTGCTGATTTGTGACCGCAAGAAGCCTATGCTCGAAACAGAAGTATAAATCAGCCTTAACCAAGCGAGGTCACGTAACTCCACATGCAGTAGGGAAAATAACTGAAAAATATGACCTGGAAAAATTAGATTGATTATAGATCTATCGATTTTTTTTTTTATCTTATTGATTTTTGATTAATTGCCCAGCCCTACTTTATACTATACACTAAAATATCCTGATGCATTTATTTCAAGTTTTTGTAAAATTATTGCTCTTTTGATTAGTGTTTTGCATACAATTTCAGAGCTTCCCACTCAAAGACTTTACTTGGGCGGACCGTCCAGGTGTATTAACAGCTGCCCAAGTATATTTGGTGACACTTTTTTGTACTATTATTATCATCCTTTTAAACTTTTTTTGTATCCACACAAGATTAACGTTCAGTATCAATTAACCAGTGGAAACGCTTCTCTCACCCTACACGTTTTGCATACCTTTTTTATTTAAGCCTACTTTTTCTTTTGGCTTTGCAGCTGAGCGAGCAAGAGAAACATTAAATAATACATTTTTAAATTGAAACAAACAAAAAAAGAAAACTTTACAATATACTCTGAGAGGATAAAATGCCATCTAAACTGGCTGCAAAATATATGCACACCATTACAAATCCAATATAACCAGAGATATTGTCTGTTTTTATTCCATTTTTCTGTCATTTATTTCTCATTTGCTGTGTATTTAATTAATTTGATGATATTAATATATTAGACATTTTATACATGTACTGAAATGCTCTGGCAATACTGTGCAAAATGTTTTGTCAATAAAGTAACTTGAACTTGAGAGGGAAAGAGAGCAGCTTTTACAAGTGGGTTCTTGTGGCTCCTGAATAGCATACAAGAGAAATAGTGGATTTTTTTTTATAATGCATAGTGATTTTTTTTTTCCTTTTTAAAATAAAAAAGTATAACAGTGTCATAATAAATAAAAATATTTTTAAAAATCACATTATTTTTGGTTTGTCACATTTTAATCATGTATGTGCCATGGGTAAAAGGTGTTTCAATCCGGCTACCACCTCAAGTAAATTTCAAACCTGTGGGAAGGACTTAATTTAAAGTGTCCAGACAAGATGCCCATATTGTTTATTGCAGCTACTAAAATTATTTTTGTTACTTGTTTTGTGCAGGCGGAGGCCAGACTTGCTGCAAAGAGAGCTGCTCGAGCAGAGGCCCGGGAAATTCGTATGAAAGAACTGGAACGACAACAGAAAGAGGTGAGTCTTACAGAGCCGACTGAAAGACAAGTAGCATTTGAAATTCCTGCCTAAAGAATGACTGTAATTGCATTATAGTGTGCAGTTTATCTTTTTTTTATGTGTCTTAGGCCTAATGCAAAGTATTTTATTCAAGTGTGCTGAACTGCAGATCTGTGCTCTATTGATCTAGTAAAAAACTTGCCTTGTAAAAGCATCATAAGTGCAATTTCTATACGAAGGCTGTTCCAGCATTGCAAATACCCATCATTGAGATGGAAAGCCCATAATGCATTGCAATGGGTCATTACCTTAGCAAAATGATAATGCAAAAGTTTATTGAAATATTGAGTCAAGTCCAGTACACAGAGTACTAATTTGGTATGATGCATGAGGATGCAGTATTTTTGATGCCATAATTGATCACTTATGAGGTTGCATTTCAGTTTTACATTAAGACTCGCTAGGTTTTTGAGTTGAAGTCACTTTTTCCACTTGGTTGTAACATCATGCACCTTTTTCAGTGTGTTAGTGGAGCAAAGTATGAATATCTTTTATTAGTGCACTTTTTGCAAACACATTGCTCAATTTTTTTTTAATTCTTATCATGTATTAACACTAAAAATCTTATTTAACTTGTGTATTCATTTGTTTGTTGTTCTTAAAGGGTCACGAAACACCAAAACACATTTTTTTGAGCTGTTGACAGTTGTATATGTGTCCCACACTGCTAAAAACACTATTAGGACACCTATATTTCACAAAAAAGTGTAAATTGGTTGTTTTTGCGTTATTTCAAGCAAATTCGTACTTCCGGTTTGAAACGAATTTTTAAAGCTGCGTCACGGTCATGACATAATAGCTTTGTATTCCAGCGTGCAGACTGGACGTCTGTGCCAGAGTGTGTCTTATTACGTCTTACAGTGTGATGCATTAATGCATGAGTAAGGCTTGGTTCAAACCAATCAGCGCGCTCTATTGTGCAACTTCATTAATATTCATTACTGTCAGAGTGTAGACGACAGAGACGCCACGTTGTGTTGGCAAAACAAGCGTGAAGTGTTACCTTTATAGTTTGCTGCAGTTAAGTTTTGTTTTCATTTTCTCTGTGAGAGCTCAGACTCACGCGTGGATTAACAGTGTACGCGACGCTCGACAACAATAACTTACGTGTCTAAGGAGGATTATTGTTTACCTGAGAGCTGTTCTCATCTGCAAACGCTGAGATCCAGATTCGCTTGTAGTCTCCTCTAAATAAAGACGCGGCTCTAGTTGGTGTGGATTGTCCTGTCTCTACAGATTTGGTAAGTGAGCGACCAGTGCTCTTTGTTTATTCAGTTCGTATTTTGTTAGTATCAAACAAACTATTGCACCGTGTGTAAACAAGTTAGCACTAACAGTTACAACCAAACTATAACCTCGTGTTGGATTTTGTGACCGGAATAACACACGCGGCTTTCTGACACTACCTGCCGTGTGCATCTAAGTTTCCGGGAAATGCTGAGTTTTTTTTTCTCTCATTCGCCGTGCGGTATTAAACATTGCATGTAAAATACACGCTTAGAGCAGATCCTCGAATCAAATATCACGTTTGTCGGGAGGGACATGAATGAATTCCCTGAATGAAAGAGCTAAACTGCAGTTAAGGTCCACCATTTAATAATTTGGCAAATAATTCGACGATGTCCATGTAAACACAGTCACTTTGTCCGCTGTGGTTGTGTGTTTTGACTCTGAAATTCAGCGCGCCCAAATAGACACTCCCACACCAAGCCTCATTTCTTCCTCCGACACTCCGTCCTAAACAGAGCTGGACACGCCCACTTTTCTGACTTTTTCCAAAGTAGAGGTGTGAAAACACCCTGCTGAAACGAGGGGGTTTCATGGCCCTTTAATTGTTTATTTATTATTGAAATGTTGAAAATTGCCATGAAAATAACCTTGGTTGCTGAGATGGCAATACATAAAACATACATTACATTCAAACACATTGCACAAAAATCAAGTTTTACATCAGTAAATGAGGAGTAGGTTGTCTTTTGTGGCTGTTCGAAGCAAGAGAATTTACTAACAGAACTCAAAGCATATTAGACCCCTGTTTTGCACCTTTATGTAGCATTATCTTAATATCATGTGTGAGCTCCAGGATGTTTTTGTTTTGAGACACTCAGGCCCCGTTTACACTAATATGTTTTAGTTTTAAAACTGCATTTTAGAACAAAAACAATCCACGTCCATGTCTGTTTCATCCGACGTTTCTGAAAAGAGCTCCGTCCACACTACACCACTAAAAATGCATATCACTTGACCACTTACACACTCTGGCATGCACTGCAGCGTATACGAGCGTCTGAGCTCCAGGCAGTCAGCGGGTGCTTTGAGTACAAAATCCCAGGTGAGAGCAGTGCACATCGGACAGTTCATCAAGGATCTTCCGCTGGATCTCATCTCACTATAGTTGTTATCCATGATATTTAATTCATCTTGTCTATCTAACGACTCTTCTGTCTTTTAACTATTACATGTTCTCAGGTAACGTGTTTTGGCTGAGCGCGAAGATAAGTTAATATTTTAATTTCTGTAACCACGTACACTGATACTCCACATTTAACTGATTGCTTGCCTTTATTTTCTATAATGTATAAACGTATTGTACGTTATACTATTATAATGGCCGTTATTAATTATTAAAACTGATGTTTAGCAAAAGTGACATGGTAGGTTTCATATTTTTCGGTAAAAATGAAAGGAAGCATTTATGTTATAGGTCTGTTTTGTTTTAAATATGCATACAGTGAGATGACAGTCATATATTCAGCTACACAACATCTCAACGTTTTTGGTGAAGTTGTTAATATCAAAATGAAAATGAGCAGTTTCTTATATTATGTTTTCATTTTACTGTTAAGATGGTGAAACAACGTAGCCAGGGGGATGTGAATCAGGTTATAAAGTACACCACTTTCTTTTACCCGAGATTTACCCGACGTGTCCTCTCGAGTTTGTTTTCCATAACAAACTTGCAAAGTCTGAACTAACATGGAGAGGATGCAAGACTGAACTTGTACTTAATATTGAGAAAAAGTCCCAATCAGCTCAAAAACTCCAGGGTAGAGTAGACGGGAGGTGTAACCGTAGGAAAACTTATGCATTTTAAAACTAATGGCCCGTTTCCACTTAGTGGTACGGTTCGGTTTGGTACGCTTTTATGGCCGTTTCCACTGTCAAAAGGCATACCGAACCAAACTGTACCATACCACAAACACGAGAAAGGGTACCAAAAGGTGGAGCTAGACGCGCAGCTGAACGCTATTGGTTTACAGAGATGCGTCATTTGCTTATGCAACTAGCCAGAATGAAAACAAAAAACCCGCCATGTTTAAAATAAACAGCCGAGAGATTACAGCGAAATTACATATACATATAATAACGAGCCATGGTCGACCCGGGCTCAAACAAACCTTGTCGTTGTCTTGATGAACAGCCACAAAACCAAAAAGAAAAGCAGATTTTACCATGTGCCATATAGTTTTTACGAGCCAGTCTAAAGCGCGAGCGGTTTCGATTTCTTGCTTCTTAAACTGAAGATAAAAAACGTGCGCTTGATTATTGACTAGCTTTTGAAACCCGATCCTGTCAGAAGCTGAAAAACATGAGAGTCAAGCGCGAAAAAACAAAGGAGAAGCCGGAAAAAAAGGAGTAAATAATTTTTTCAGCAAACATGAACAAACTGCCTTGTTTAACTATTATCATCATCTTTTGTACTAATATGAACTCAGAATGACGGAATTACTCTCTAATAGAGGCTACATGTGCTGCTGAAGATTAAAGACACAGATGAGAGGTTTGCTCTGACTGTGGGCTATATTTTATGTTGTTTTTAACCCTGAATAAGGACTAAATGTATGCTGTGTGAAGTTTTTCTGTAATTGATAACATATCGGAGACTTTAAGGGGCTGTATGTTTTCATATTAGTTGCATTTATTTTAAATAATTACAGACATTACAGTTGGCTTTTTTGCACTGTTACTGATCTGCATTTATAATCATATCCTTTTCATAGAAAAGTTAGTAATAAACATTTATACAGAAGTATTTATGTGTATAAAGCATCTGTTTTGTGAGAAGTGCTTCTTATATGATATGTGAGCGACCTGTACAGCTTTACTGTAGACATTTTCTCAAGATAAAATGACGTTGACTGGAACTTTTTTATTATACACCACGCCCACCAAAAGGGTACCCTTGGTAGTGGAAACCCAAGCCTGATAAAGGTGACCCTATCCTTTTCATAGAAAAGTTAGTAATAAACATTTATACAGAAGTATTTATGTGTATAAAGCATCTGTTTTGTGAGAAGTGCTTCTTATATGATATGTGAGCGACCTGTACAGCTTTACTGTAGACATTTTCTCAAGATAAAATGACGTTGACTGGAACTTTTTTATTATACACCACGCCCACCAAAAGGGTACCCTTGGTAGTGGAAACCCAAGCCTGATAAAGGTGACCCTATCCTTTTCATAGAAAAGTTAGTAATAAACATTTATACAGAAGTATTTATGTGTATAAAGCATCTGTTTTGTGAGAAGTGCTTCTTATATGATATGTGAGCGACCTGTACAGCTTTACTGTAGACATTTTCTCAAGATAAAATGACGTTGACTGGAACTTTTTTATTATACACCACGCCCACCAAAAGGGTACCCTTGGTAGTGGAAACCCAAGCCTGATAAAGGTGACCCGTACCGAACCGTACCGTACTGTACCAGTCAGTGGAAACGAGCCATAAAATGTATTCGTGTAAACGGAGCCTCAGACCAAAGCTGAAACATGTTTTTAGATCTTCAGAGTGTTTGTCTGTTTTAAAAACCATTTTGTCGAAAAGACACAATATGAATACTTTTACTAGTTCCAGATTTACATCCCAGACTTAGCAAGCTGCCTAGCTAAGCCTGTAAGTGAAAACAGGCCTTTGACAGTACGGTATGTTTTCAGTGTTCGCAGACACGTGTGAATGATTCAGTTATCCATGTCAGCTGTATCTGTGTTTTCTGTGTAGATGTTGTTGTACGTTCACAGACCTGGTTTAAAGAGTATATTTATCAAGCACATACTTTCAATCTGTGTAATTGCATTTTAATATGTTTTTTCATCAGTTTGTTTGTGAAATGCTTTTCCACTGTCAGAAACTAACAAGTACCAAATGATCCACTGTCAGATTGAATTGCAACAGAAGTCTTAGTGTTTGTCCTGTGGCTCTCTCTCTCTCTCACACAGCTTTCTTACCATCAGCACTCTTCCTCTAGCAGGAAATGGGGGCAAATCCACCAATGGATGGTATGAGAAAGATTAGGCCAGTTTAGACATGCATGTACTTTTGCCTTTGACTAATAAAGAGCTTTCAGGTTGGAGTGTGCAAGCTGTGTTCTCGTGCACTCAGTTGTTTACGTGTGGCTCACAAGCATGTTTTTAATATTACTTGTGCTCTTTTGAGTTTATAAAGGAGCTGTTGTGGTGTTCTGGAGCTGGATTTTGTTTGGAAGGCATTGGATTTGTTTTTTTTTGGGGGGGGGAATTGTTTTCACATGATTTAGTGTTGTTCATGTATTTGTGTATGTCTATTATAGACATTAAACTGATGAAACCGGATAATAACATTTTAATTAAACCGCATATAAACTAGCTAATGTAGGCTGTATGAGGCTGGTGGATTATTCTTGATGTGCACTACTTAACAAAAGTCTTGTCATCCTATCCAAGTTTTAGGAACAACAACAAATAATAACTTGACTTCTAGCTGATCATTTGTTATCAGAAGTGGCTCATATGAAAGGCAAAGGCCTCTAGATTACGCTTATTTTACATAAATAAAATATGATCATGCCTTGATTTTTAATTATTTAATTAGGACAGTAAGGTCTGACTTTGCTTAGACAAAAGTCTTGTGACTTAACAGAAATAATGTACTGTATAGAATATAAAGCCATGCTGCAGTGGAAAAAGCATGAATATTCTGTATGACTCCCTTGGGCTTGGAGGACTGCATCCATACATCTCTGCAATTACTCAAATAACTTTATTAATAAAGTCATCTGGGATGGCAAAGAAAGCATTGCAGGACTCCCAGAGTTCATCAAGATTCTTTGGATTCATCTTTAATGCCTCCTCCTTCATCTTACCCCAGACAGGCTCAATAATGTTCATGTTTGGTGACTGGGCTGGCCAATTCTGGAGCACCTTGACCCTTCTTTGCTTTCAGGAATTTTGATGTGGAGGCAGAAGTATGAGAAGAAGCGCTATCCTGCTGAAGAATTTGCCCTCTCCTGTGGTTTCTAATGTAATGGGCAGCACAAATGTCTTGATACCTCAGGCTGTTGATGTTGCCATCCACTCTGCAGATCTCTCGCACGCCCCCATACTAAATGTGTCACCAAACCATGATTTTTTTCTTCACCAAACTTGACCGATTTCTATGAGAATCTTGGGTCCATGCGGGTTCCAGTAGGTCTTTTGCAGTATTTGTTATGATTGGGATGCAGTTCATCAGAGGATTCATGGGAAAAATCTACCTTCTGCCACTTTTCCAAATGATAAACTAGAAGTCAAGCTATTATTTGTTGCTCTTACAACTGGGATTACTTTACAAGACTTTTGTCAGGTAGTGTACTTGCTGGCACCTGGCACTGGCAGTATAAAATTTCTTAGTATCATAATGCATTTCATTTTTTAATGCATTTTATTTCATAATGCATTCGTAGTTCAATGCATTTTTAAATTTTATTGGTAATACTTTACATTAAGTATTATTTTTTGGTAACTACATAACATTGACTAACAGAAAAACAACTTGTTTTAATACCAGCTATGATTTTTTTTTAATTAATGTTTTATAGACTCTTTTTATCTATTGAAGATTTTAATTTGATCATTTATTGAAAAACATCAAGGAGAAAATGCATCAATTTATACTGTAGTATTATTATATGATAACTAATTGTTTAAGAAAAATCTATAAATACTAACATATGTTTTGACTATAGTATCCAGCCCCTTTTGTCATATTGCTGCAAATAGGCTTGTATGTTTGCCATGTCATTTGAACAGGCCTTATCATGGCAGACTATCAGGATGTAAAGTGTTTAGTGTTTGTTTGGGAATGCTGGTTAAGACTAAAACTAACACAATCTAAGAAATGCAGTATCCTTCATATCCTTAATTTCCTTCATCTCAGGCTGATGCAGAAAAGGCCCGTCATGGTCATCATTCCAGTAGCCACAGTCGACGGGTTTGTATTTTGCAGCGTGTCTTTTCTACTTTCTCCTCTTTTTAAATTAATTTTTTCCTTATTCCTTTCCTTTCCCCTAATTTCTCATCAACAGGGATTAAATGATGACACGGCATCAGTCCGGAGTGTTGGAAGTTACAGGGTGTGTGATTCTGTATGATATTCAGACCTCATTTTTCTCATTGAGATATTTTATTCATGTTTGTATAGAGTAAAATATGTCCGCAAGGGCTTGATTTGAACATTATTGATAATTATTGTATAATATTGGTACTTGATAGTAATTATCAAACTTAAGTAATCACAGTAGGTGAAGTAGGTCATTTAAAAAATAAGAAATGTTGTTTTCAGCATTTTACATACTACACGGCTTTAACAATGCGTTGGAAATTGAAAATGAATGTTTGTTTTTTTCATTTCTTTCTACTTTTAAAGTCAAACTCATCATCTTTACGAGACTTGAGCAGTTCTCATCGCTCTAGTCGGGGTAATTCTTCCAGGAGAAGAGACGTGGTGGTACGTTACTGTGTGTTTTGTAAGGCGCTGTACTTTGTGTGTATTTTGGCAACAGGATTTTGTTGACTGTAATGATCTGCTAATTTAGGCTAATGCACATACTAATATTGTTTGTTCTTTTAGAATGACGTCTTGACCACAAAAAGCTTGTCTGTGCAATTTAAAACGTTTAAAAGATTCTAATTCTAAAGCTAATACGGAATATGTAGAAATGCTAAAAATATTGAAATGATATTGGGTTTGCTTGCATGCAGGTTTGTTCACTATTGCTCTACCTGAATTTTATGTGCCGATTTAATAGGCTTAGTGGTAGGGCTGCACGATAATGGAAAAATCTGAAATTGCTATATTTTATTTTTCTGCAGTAAATATTGGGATATGAATACATTTTCACAAGATGGCTTGAATAGCACTATTTGACTGTTTTCTGGAGAATCTTATCATGCAGTATTCACATACAGAAATTGAATAATCACAATCAGGGCTTGACATAAACACCTGCCAAATGCGGGTAGATTTCAGCTGTGGTGGGTTAGACAGACACTCCCACTAGCCACTCTGGCCAGTTGAAAATTTTTTTTAAATTGTAGTTTTCTTAAAAGCAGGGTTCGACAATAGAGATGGCCCAATATATGTGCGATTGTGATCGTAGAAATTGTGAAGCTAAAGGACTGACAAAAAAAACTTCGCGTGAGCAAAAGAAAGCAGCTGAATACCGAATGAGATGATTACTCCCGCACATAGGTGATTTTTACTTGCGCAAAGCAACCGTGCCTAAACTCTCAGAAATAAAAGTATGCAAGCTGTCACTGTGGTGATTCCTTTTTAATAGGTACAAATTCTTACTTAAAAGATCCATTTTAATACCTACTTAAAATTTTTAGGTACTAATATATATATATGTGTGTGTGTGTGTGTGTGTGTGTGTGTGTGTGTGTGTGTGTGTGTGTGTGTGTGTGTGTGTGTGTGTGTGTGTGTGTGTGTGTGTGTGTGTGTGTGTGTGTGTGTGTGTGTCTGTGTGTGTGTGTGTGTGTGTGTGTGTCTGTGTGTGTCTGTATGTATGTATGTATGTATGTATGTATGTATGTATGTATGTATGTATGCATGCATGCATGCATATATATATATATATATATATATATATATTAGTACCTAAAAATTTTAAGTGGGTATTAATATGGACCCTTTAAGTACAAACTTGTACCTTTTAAAACGTTACCACCCCAGTGACAGCTCACATACATTTATTTCTGAGAGTGTATATGTCTATATATAAATAAGCAGCAGCGATTACAGCTTTCGTTTTAATTATTATTTGAACAGCTTATTAATAGGCCTAACATTAACCGTGTGCCTGTGATCATAACTTCCTTATCACACATGGTATTTAATTATTTTGCCTGCTTTCTTTTGCTTACAGTTGTTTTTGTTAATATAGCTTTAATATTATTATTATTATTTTCTTTTTACAATAGCATTGCTTTAATATAAGATTAACTCCCCTTGTATGTCTAGTTAACTGGTGAAATGTCAATTTTTTTAAGGAAAAGTTTTGTATATATAATTTTTTTATTTAAAAAGTATATAGTACATTACTATAAATATAGTAAGTATATTTAAAATGTATATAGCTGTATTTTGCTTCTTTTGACACATTTAAAATTTGTGGCTAAGAAATAATTATTTCTCTTTGGTGTGGTCAGAGATCAATTTGGTAAATTTTTCATTTTGACCCTCGAAAAGTCGTGTGAAATAAAAACTAATTGCAATGCAACAAACCTATTTGCTTGTGCACATTGAGCAAGCTCATACACAACAGACACAATGTGAAATGAATGTGGACGTAACACAACATGTCATTCAAGTAATTTTAGCATATCAAAGTTAAATTTTCTACAGAAATTATTTATGATTTCTTATGTGGCCCGTTACCAATTGTTCCACGGACCGGTACTAGTCCGCGGTTGGGGACCACTGATTTAGACAACATTGCATACCTGCGATGTGACTTACGGATGCGCACATTGCCATATCCATGCTGATACAATAAATTGTGCAGCCTTACTTAGTGACTAATTTGTAGAAATTTTTACTAACTCATTTATGAAAAAGCATGCATAGTTTGATAATGTGCAAAGGAGTGAAAATTAGGTACAAATTTATATTATACTTAAAGTTTGTTGCAAAACCATAAAATTTTTGCTGTGAGACTGCGTTTGCTATTAATGACTAGCAATGTTGAGTGGTTTTCTATAAATGATGCCTAACCGCACTGACTCATTGACTTGTGGCACTAACACAAGAGGGTCTTTGGTGGGATCTGATGTAACGCTCTCTTATTAGTGCATACGCCATTTCTGTGGCATGGATTGCTTCTCGTCATATTCAGAATTGATGCTGACTGCTGTTTTCTCTGCAGTCTGGTGTCTCCAGTAGTTCCTCTTTGAAGAGCTCCCTCTCCACTGTATGTATCTGTCATGGTTTGTGTATGTTTTTGATTGATTGTTGGTAGTGGTGGATTTTCTAGTTTGATTTATGTATGGGTAGATAGCCAGATCTGGGATCTTTGTTCTGTCTAGCATTGTTCTGTTAATGTATAGGCTTTTATATCTATGACTATTAAAGAACTGCATGATTTATTGAATTATATTAAATTGTAATTATGGCTTAGTTCAATTATCAAATTACTAAGACTGTGAAATAATAAAATTAATATATTTGCTTTATCAATTACTCATGTTAGGAGTGAAGCTTTGCACTGTTTATTGTGCAGGCACAAAGAGGTCATGACTAGGTTGGGCCCACACAGAATCTGAGCTTTTTTTTATTTTTTAGCCCATCTTTCAGTTTTATCTATTGAATTATGTAAATGTGTGTAAAAATGTTTTAGCAGTTTTTATGTTAATTTCAGTTATATTTAATAGTTATATTATTATTACTGAACAATATGCATTTGTTTAAATACATTATGTACACTACCTGACAAAAGTCTTGTCGCCTATCCAAGATTTAGGAACAACAAATAATAACTTGACTTCTAGTTGATCATTTGGTATCAGAAGTGGTTTATATGAAAGGCAAAGGCCTCTAGATTACGCTTATTTTACCAAAATAAAATATGATCATGCCTTGATTCTTAATTATTTAATTAGGACATTAAGGTCTGACTTTGCTTAGACAAAAGTATTGTCACTTAACATAAATAATGTGCAGTATAGATTTTAAAGTCATGGTGCAGTGGGAAAAGAATGAATATTGTGTATTCCCATGAGCTTGAAGGACTGCATCCATACATCTCTGCAGTGACTCAAATAACTTATTACTAAAGTCATCTGAAATGGCAAAGAAAGCATTGCAGGACTCCCAGAGTTCATCAAGACTCTTTGGATTTATCTTCAATGCCTCCTCCTTCATCTTACGCCAGACATGCTCAATAATGTTCATATCTGGTGACAGAGCTGGCCAATCCTGGAGCACCTTGACCTTCTTTGCATTCAGGATATTTGATGTGGAAGCAGAAGTATGAGATGGAGCACTATCCTGCTGAAGAATTTGCCCTCTCCTCAGGCTGTTGATGTTGCCATCCACTCTGCAGATCTCTCACACATTAAATACTGAATATAACCCCAAACCATTATTTTTATTCATCATATTTGACTGATTTCTGTAAAAAACTTGGGTCCATGCGAGTTCCAGTAGTTCTTCTGCAGTATTTGTGATGATTGGGATGCAGCTCAACAGATGATTCATCAGAAAAATCTACCTCCTGCCACTTTCCAAATGATCAGCTAGAAGTCAAGTTATTATTGTTGCTCCTACTACTAGGATCATCGACAAGACTTTTGTCAGGTAGTGTACTATTTGGAAATAAAAATGTTCTGCCTTTTAGTGGATGTATAATATGAGCGAACAACTGTAGGTTTATTTACCAAAAAGTGGTCCTAATTGGATTTAGATTTTTTTTTATAAATGTGCTATTTTTATCTGTTAGGTTGTCAGCTCCAACACTTTCAAATTCTTTTTTTCTTTCTTCAGAAATTGTGTGCAAAAAAGTTAGCAAAGTTGTGATTTGATTTTAGTTGGCTTATAACATGCATTTGAGAATACAACATGTTCCAACATCTTCCCAGGCTTGTAAAGAAAATAGCATGTAAATGGCTGTTGTCAATAGAAGTTTGAAGGGAAGTTTTAAGGTCTTGCTGTGGTTTAAAAAAAAAAGCACAAAAAAAAAATTCAACATAATAAAAAATATAACACAATTTATATTAAAGTTAAATTGCAACCCTACTAGATTTCTTTAGTTTACAAAGTTAGAGGAAGCTTTACAAATGTATGTTCTTCTCTTTCAGAGCTCTGTTTATAATGATCTTCACAAAAAATCTGTTGGCAGTAGCTCCAAAAAGGACCTTCTGGTCAGTGCTGATCAATATTGTGCACTCAAGTGCTGCTTCCTTCTTGATACATCGACTTGATCACATTTATCCTGATTTAGAACATAGTATTTTAGATTTTTGACATTTCTGTCAAATATCTGTGCTCATTTCCATTGCTTTGCACCATTTCCTTAGACTGGACTGTATCACGACCAAAGAAACTACACAAGCTTAAAGAACTCCAAACCTCCTCCTTCTACCGCCTCTACTTATACACCACGGGTTTGTCAGCTTCCTTTCTGAATTATTAATACTAGCTAATTTGAACTTGCTAATTACGATTTGAAATGTGAGAAGTTGATTTGTCTTGGCAAGGTTTTGATTCCAGTGTAGGCTCTTTCCTCGGTTTTAAAATTGGTCATCAGTTTGATTCAGTGGTTTAGTGGCGTTATCTGACAGAAATTGCTTATTGTTTGACCTTCTCAGGCTCCATCCAGCAGCAGTTCTGCAGGTCTGACGCGAAGCTATAGTGTGGTTAGTCTGATTTTCATCACATGTGATTAAACCACACTGATCACATGTAAAGAACTGTTGTTTAAGCCCCTTTGTCATCTGTTCATTTAAAAATGGCAAGATCTGTATTCGCAGGCTTCCATATGTGACGATGGTCTGTATGGCTCATATAGTTCCAAAGCTGTAAGTAACGCATCAGTATATGCTAAAATAATCAGGGATGCACGATTTTGAATTTGTTGCCTATATCCGATTCGCCATTATTTTATTTTATTAAACTCCTTTTAAATAAAAAAAAAAATTGTTTTATTTGTTTGTTTTATTTTTGAGCAAATATTACAAGTGTCTAGAGCAGGGGTGTGCAAACTTTTTCAAATGAGGGGCAAAAAGCCAAATATTATTAAAAGCTGTGGGCAAATATAAATATACCAAACTATTTTACATTAAAGTTGCCATGGGTAATTTCCTAATTTATTTCATATTAATATTATTTGTAAAAATTAAAAACATTTTTTCATAGTAAACATCACTTTAAATTGTATTAACTAATGCTGTAAAACCTTTTAATTCTAAGTTATTTCATTTAACACATAATTACATTTATAACACAGTATAGTTTAATGCTGAATACACTAGTTTAACAGATCTCTATCTGTTGGGTGACAGTATGTACATTTTAAACTAAATTACAGCATTTAAACTGAAACATTTAATTTCAGTTAGCTTTTTTTGTAGCATAACGATAAAACAAACTATAAAAAGTTTACAATAAATTTGAAATTACATTCTCTAAATCATTCTCCCTCTTTTCTCAGACGGGACGGTGTCAAAAATTAAAGGTTACCATGGGCCAACTTTGGCCCGTGGTCCCTAGTTTGGGCGTCTCTGGTCTAGTGTATGATTATTATATCAGATAAACTGTTGCTTCTGATCATTAAATCAAATCGAATTTAATTTGTGCATTTATGACACATGGAATTCTTAATTCCTAAATAGAACTATAACTAAAAAGTTTGTATTTGATTTGAATTCTTATTAGTGTTTATTTATTTGTTATTTATTTATTAACATTTTATTTAGGAGCCCCTGAATAAATAACATTTCTGAGACATATATTGTAAAAAAAGATTTGAAAGTGCAATATTTGACATTTTAAGTGGTCATTAGGACTTGCGAGATGCTGTTAGGGCTACAGAGTCTGCTGCATGCACTAGACTACTGTTTGTTAATAGTTAACTTTCTGACAGATATTGTAAGTCACAATACAAAACAGTAAACCACCATTCAGGTAAAAAATCAGCTCAGGAATGAGCAAATTACTGACCTCATCTTGCTGCTGCTAGCACTCTGATAGGCAAGTCAGTAACTGCATGGTCGCAATCAACTCATCATTTTCATAAAATTAACTTTCGAAATCCTTTAGTAGTTACAAAACTCAAGACATGATGAGGTTGTTTGCACAAGATGCCATATTGGACACACAAGACTTACTCTCGTGGACATTTACTCAAAGTAGAAGTTTCTCTAAAATGTCAGTATTGCAATAATAAGCAAACTGTTAAATGTATGCTTGTGGAATGCTTTATATTAAATGTCATCAGACGATGGAGAGACTTTAAAGGAAATATTTTTAATTGAAATCAAAAATGGTAGGAGTTTTATCAAAGGTAAACCTTTATTTTTATTGTCTTTTTTAATGTTGTAATTAGAATAGAACTGTGATATTTATAAAATGTTTGTACATTTTTATATGCCATGATATAGCCAGAGAAGCTGATATGGCAGTAAACTCAAAAATTCTCCAATCATCATATTATTGGAACAGCATATCAACATAATTTCTCGTATCTGGCAGATTCTGATATTTAAATTTCAAACAGTTATCGGCTGAGTTATCAAACACTGATGTTATCGTGCATCCCTAGTAATTTTAATGATATCCTATGCGTGGAGCAGTGTTAGCTCAGTGGTTAGTGTTGTTCCCCGCAGCCCTCTGAATGCAGCTGGTATTCTTCTGGTGCCAGTTCTACCCGCAGTAGCCCCGTGGTGAGTGTCGCATGTGTCCAGAGCTGCAGCATGTTACACGGCAGCTGCGCATGCCAGAGCTGATTCTGTGTTTTTCTAAATTATGCATTCATTCAGGCAATTTGACTTTTGGAAAACATGCTCCCTTTAGTCTAACTGCAGGTGTTGAAGTTCAGTGTGTAACTCATCCTTCATTGTTTGTACTTCGATCGTGAATGACATCTCAAATTGCGTGGCATGTTGAGGAGAGGTGTGTCATTGCATTTTTAAGGGATTGAACTTAATGGTTGTGAAAATAAACACTTCAAAAAACCTACAGTGAAGCAGGAATTGAGATCTACGCCGCTGCTAAAAGTTTTGTAGTTGGTGAGATTTTTATTTATTTATTTGTATTTTATGCATAAATATTATAAAAATATAGTAAACAAAATTAGTACTAGGGCTGTATGATAGTGGAAATATGTGATAATGCAATATTTTATTTTTCTGCGATTAAATATTGCAATATGAATACAGTTTCACATGATGGTTTGAATAGCACTATTTGACAGTTATCTTGGAAGTCTGATGGTATTCAAGTACACAAATTGAGTATGCACAAATAAAAAATGCTTTGTTTTGTTTCTAGTCCAAATATCAAACATTTTGTAGATCAAGTAAAAAATATTTTCTTTTCACCTAGTTTTCCTTTAAAACAAGTAAAATTCTTTGCAAATTCTGAAATGTTGATATTACTTGGACTAGAAAGAATACAAAAATCTTAAGAAAAACATTTCATATAAAATCATATAAATTTCATAAATTTAATTAAATTAAATTCTATAAATCTTTGTTAAACCTCCAAACATCATAATTGTGCCCAGGTGTTCTAAACTTCTTTGTAATGCTCAGTCAAAGTCCTTAAAAACACATGCAAATGATAAATCCTCATTCTGTTATGGTTAAACTTAGCTGTCACTCTACAAATCACGTGTTCTGTGGCTCCTGGTCAACTATAATTCAGACTCAACATTGCATATCTTACGTGCAATCATGTCCATTCATGTAATGTAATTACAATCATGCCCATCAGTGCTCTAGACTTGCTGTTTCAGATTGTTGAATTACTTTTTTCTCGCATAGATTGACTGGTGTGATTATGCATTTATAATGGTATGAACTGTTATAGGCATGGTCAAATGGGTTTATATTATTTATTATTGTAATTACTATTATTATTTAAGATGCATACATGTTGTTTTGATGTCCTTCAGGGGGGATCAAGAATTAATTTGGGGGGTCGATCCCCCCAAACCCCGCTGTAATTCAAACACTGCCAACCACCTCATGATAATAAATACTGCATTTTGTAAATGTTTTGAAAAATGATTATAAGCCTCTATCCTGTGAGGCCGAATTAAAAAGTTTGCGATAGACAGTGAAATAAAAGGCTTCTTTATGTTTAAATACTTACAAAAAAAAAACATCTTATTTTTTTAAACTCCTTTTGTTCCTGTCCTACTTTTGGTTGTATTTTTCTAAAATTAAAAGCTTTGTATTAGTTGCAATTGATGTCAGTACTGTCTTCTTATGATGAATCACTTGATGGCTTCCTCATTGTAAATTGCTTTGGATGAGAGTGTCTGTTAAATGACTAAATGTGCTTGTAAGTATCTAGAAAGCTGTTGTTTGTGGTTGCATTTGATAATTTATGATTTTTTGTGTGTGTGTGATTTGTTTTGGGCCTGTGATTGATCAAAGATCATCTGGGTCAAAGGATAAAGACAGCATGTTTGATGTAGTGCAGAATTGTTTTAAACGTTTTCTTTTACTGAATTCATGGCATAATCTGACAGAATAAAAACTGTTTTGATGGTTTGTTTGCTGAAGGTGGAGCAGGAATGCAGTCGATGTCTTTGTATTTCTTGTGGTGCATTTGTCTAAACATCTTAAGCACACCTTGTTTGATGACTTGTCACTAATACAAGTGCAATTAAAAGAATGTCTTTTACTTGAAATCCTTCTGCTTAACCAACACCATCTCGTAACTTTTTTTATTTAGTTTCTAATTTTTATAAAATTGTACAATCTCATTCATACAATTTAGTATGATTTGCTCATCCCCCAATGATGGTTGAGTTTGGGGGTTGGTGCCACGCCTCCTTTTAAAAATCGTACATTTTTGTACAACTGAACTGAACTGGGTTACATTTCCTCATGAGATCAGGCTGGCTTATGAGTTTTGACAGATGGATTTTGGTTTTCTTCCTGTGCAATGCGAATCTTTTTCTCTCTCTTAAACCTTGTAGTCATCTTCTGATGATGATTCAGCCAGTACTGTGTCCCAGAGTCGACGTGGGAGAAGGGATAGTGTGGTGAGCCAGAATAGAAATTGTCCGCATGTTTAGAGTTTAGACAACACAACCATGTATTCAGTTTTCATTAAAACAATAATATATCATTAAAAACAACACTTTTTTTCCTTTCCCTGTCTGTGTGTACTATGTAGATGTCTGATTTCTCTGATATCTCAGAAACGACTGCTGATTATTTCAGCCGCTCTAATCGCAGAGGCAGTGTTGTCTCTGATCTTGATGATCTGAGCATACCAGACCTGGACAGTGTAAGTCAAGACATGCATGAAGTATTAACCGGTGTCAAACATGCACTCAAGTGTACTAGATGGTTTTAGTTTGGCTATAAATGTTCAATACTACTGCATGGCTTGATCCTATGAGAAAGTTCCTGAAAAGGTTAACATTACTGGTGACAAATATGCTTCCTTATTAATGTTTGAATCTGTTTACATTTCACATATTTGTTTTATTTCAGCCACAAGTGAATCAGCTGTGGACAGTTTTAACCTCCAAAATGTGTATGCAAACATCTAACCATTAGCTCTATTGTGTGCGTTTTGTGTGTGTGCGTGTAACTCATCAGTGGTTTGGTACAGTATAATCTTTGTCAGTATATTGACTCTGATTGTTTTTGGTCAAATTGTATGGATCATGTGGCTTAATGTGTGCTTAAACCAGTTGCTGAAACTATAGCAAATCAAATCCCACTAACCTTTTTCCTTTTTCCAAGTTTAGGATGAAGACAAAAACCAGTTAATGACCATTCAGATTGGGTTGACCACCCATCACTTTTAGTAACCCACGAGTCTAATGATGTTTTCTTCTTTTGCAGCTCGATGAGAAGAGTGACAAGCAGTTTACAGACTACAGCCGGGTAAGAGGAAGAGATTGTTTTCAATTTCCTCTTGCAGATTATATTCTGACTCCTAATTGAGCCATAATTAACCCCTAAATTAAGTTTAGCTGATCTCAAGTGGTGAAATGTAGTTTGTCATTTGATTTTAGTCAGTCTTAAGCACCACCTCGAGTAATGTATTATCTATATTTTAGTTTAGTTTTAATATGCAATTAATTCCTTAAAATCATCATAACACACTCTGAGATTTTAATATAATACAGAGTTATATGTGAAACATCGATATGGTAAATGCCGAGCTAGTGTTGTTCCTATACTGATAAACTTGCGGTGACCTGTTATTGTGAATTATTTTCCATTTTATATGGTTCCTTTTACAGCATCAATGTTGTACTGTAATTAAAATACATTCAGTTAAATAAACTTTGGCATTCATTTAGCTGCTCAAGTGTAAAATGAGACAAAAAGCCGTTTACTCGCACTCGTTTGTCTGAATCCGCAGGCTAGCGCAGAAGCTCCATTGAATATACTAGGGTAAAAGAATTGTTCATATTTTAAAGATATGGTGGGGGAAAATGTAATTTAATGCAGCGCTTGTACAATCTGAGACCCACTTTATATTGGATATCACTCAGCCAGTGGAGATCGCATATTTTTAAAGAAAACAGACCTTAAACCCGCTGTTTTTTGCATTTGTATACAGTTTGCCGATTGACCATTGTGTTCACATGCTCATCAGATGTGACTGTGATTGGCTCTAATGATCATCTCTTTACAATTGAGCTTAGATGGACACTTAAATGTTTAAAACGCACAAACAGCTGATTAATTAGTGGATTGACAGCATTCAAACAATGACAGACACAATTTTCAAACACTCCAGTGCCTGATGATATTTTTGTCCCTTCACAATATGTATATGTGTGTCAAATTTAAAAATGAATAACTTTTTAAATTTAAAAATCTTGCATTTCCTCATATTTTACCACTGAATTTTGGTCTGAGTCCATATGCATCACTAGCAGATAACAGTTGCTCGCTCTCCTGCTTTGCCCCCTCCACTTTGCTTTTTTCTATTACAAATTCTGTTGTAGCCTTGCATTAAAAGAGGGGGGTTCATGAACCTTTGAATATCAAAAAACAGCTGTACTAAAATTTTCTGGACTCATGAATCACACTTACAGTTGAAGTCAGAATTGTTGGCCCCCCTGAATTATGTATATTTTTTCCCTCAATTTGTTATTGTTTAACGGAAAAAAAAAGATTTTTTCAATACATCTTTACAATTATTACTTCTCTAAATATAATAGTTTAAATAACTAGTTTCTACTAACTTTTTGAAAATATATAATATTATATATAATAAATTATTTATCTTTGCCATGATGACAGTACATAATATTTTAATAAACATTTTTCAAGAACCTAGTATTCAGCTTAAAGTGACATTTAAAGGCTTAATTAGGTTAACTAGGCAGGTTAGGGTAATTAAACAAGTCATTGTATAACGATGGTTTGTTTTGTAGACAATCTAAAACAATATTGCTTAAAGGGGCTAATAATATTGAACTTAAAATGATTTTAAAAATCTTAAACAGCTTTTATTCTAGCCAAAATAAAACAAATAAGTCTCTCTCAAGAAAAAAAATGTTATAGGAAATAGTGTGAAAATGTCCTTGCTCTGTTAAACATCATTTGGAAAATATTTTAAAAAAGATAAATAATTTTGACTGTATATACATCTTAACATTTATTATGTTTTCAGGTCGTTAAACTGCTTTTATTCATTGTTTCATGCTGTATCCTCCAGCCGTCCTCCCGATGTGCTACACCGGCTCTCTCTGCTGCTGCTCTGGCGTCATTAGGAGGCAGCTCTTCCAGAAGAGGCAGTGGAGATGCTGGAAGTGTCATTATGGATTCAGAGGCCTCTATTAGCGAATTAAGGGTAATTACACCACATTTATTGACTTTCACTGCAAAAATGCTTTTCTTACTTTGAGTTTTTGTCTTGTTTCTAGTGCAAATATATGAGCTTTCTTAAATCAATAAGTCTATATTATAAGTCTATATTATAAGTCTATATTATAAGTCTAATTAAGTTAAAATAGTCTTGTTTTTTGTTATTTTACTTACCCCACTGGCTTATTATTTAACTTGCTTAAGGAAAAACTCACATAATTTTGGCTTATTTCTGAAAACAAAAAATTTTTTTTTTTTACTTGTCTAGAAAATTCTTTTTGATTTTAGGATTTATGCTTTAGATATTTGTGCAAGAAACAAGACAAACTCTAAGAAAAGCTTTTTTCTAATGTTGCTGCTTTACAGATTAAACATAAACTCTCTGTAATATGGATTGTTTATGCAGTTCTTAAAACAAGATGAATCTACCTGCCTTTTGAATATATTTTGGCTGAACATCGAGCTTCAAACTTTCCTATTAAATGCATACGATCTCAGAGTATCCATTTGTGTTCATTTCACAGTATTATTTGTGTTTGTTTTTATTTATTTTTTTATTTGTCTTTATTTAAATTCTTTCCTCTTTGTGTTTGAATGCCTTCGGACAGCTCTCTCTCCCTCTTTATGTTTGTTCAAAAATGTATGATAAGAGGTCACCGCTCTGACCTTTAGCGAATGCCAAACTTTTCCCATGATTCATTCCTCCATCTCAACAGGACATCTATGATCTAAAGGACCAGATTCAGGATGTAGAGGGCCGATACATGCAGGGTCTTAAAGAGCTAAAGGTAGAGGGTCCTGAGCTCAATGCATGCCTTCCCTCTTCCTCCACTAACACACGAGGCTCTTAGCACTCTTTAGTCTTGCATGAGTCTTGCATGAGTCTTTCACTTACTACATTAGCTCTTTACAGTCACGTTTAGCCCTCTGTTGTGTTGCCTAAAGAGATCATTTCTCCAAAGAGCCAAAGTCACATGGACATATTTTGTCTCGCACCCAACCTCTCCTAAAGAAGATGGAGAATGCAGACACACGATTTTGACCAGAACGTTTCAGATGCAACTGTGTAAAGAATTTTTGTGTTTGTGCAGTTTATATTGGGATGCTGGAGATCACTTTGATAATAATACAGACATAACAAGACATCTTAAAGAAAGAAAGAAAGAAAGAAAGAAAGAAAGGATGGAAGAAAGGATGGAAGAAAAAGAAAGAAAGAAAGAAAGAAAGAGTTGAATAAAGAAAGTTGAATAACAAAAGAATGAGTTTGATAAAGGAAGAATCAGTTGAATAAAGAAAGTTGAATAAAGAAAGAAAGTAAGAGTTAAATAAAGAAAAAAAGTTGAATAAAGAAAGAAAGAGTTGAAGAAAAAATTAAAGCAGTTGAATGAAGAAAGAAAGAGTTGAAAAAGTATAGAAATAGTCTAAGGAGAAAAAGAGTTAAATAACGGAAGAAAAAGAAGAATAAAGAAAGAATAAGTTTAAGAAAGAAAGAAATAGTTGAATGAAGAAAGAAAGAGTTGAATAAATACTTGAATAAAGAACAAAAGTTGAAGAAAGAAAGTTGGATAACGAAAGAGAGTTGAATAAAGAAAGAAATAGTCTAAGGAAAGAAAGAGTTAAACAACAAAAGAAAGTTGAATAAAGAAAAATTTGAATAAAGAAAGAAATAGTTGAATAAAGAGAATGAGTTCAAGGAAAGAAAGTTGAATAACGAAAGAGTTGAATAAAGAAAGAAATAGTCAAAGGAAAGAAAGAGTTCATTAACAAAAGAAAGTTGAATAAAGAAAGAAAGAGTTGAATAAAAAAAGAATGAGTCGAATAAAGAAAGTTTAATAAAGAAAGCAATAGTTTAAAAAAGAAAGATTTAAATGAAGAAAGAGTTGAATAAAGAAAGGAGTTGAAATAAATAGTTGAATAAAGAAAGAAATAGTTGAAGAAAGATTTGATTGAGGAAAGAAAGAGTTAAATAAAGAGAAATAGTTGAAAAGTTGAAAAAAGAAAGAATTAGTTGAATAAATAAAGAGTTTACTAAACAAAGAAAGGGTTAATGAAAGATAGTTGAATAAAGAAATAAATTAGTTGAAGAAAGGAAAAGTTGAATAAAGAAAGAAAGATAGTGGAATAAAGAAATAATGATTTTAATAAAGAATTAGTTGAATAAAAAAGGAAGAGTTGAATAAAGAGAGAGTTGAATAACGGGAAATAAAGAAAGAGTTGAATAACGGGAAGTAAAGAGAGTTGAATAAAGAAAGTAGTTGGAAAAAGAAAGGAAGAGTTGAAGAAAGAGAGTTGAACAGCGAAAGAAAGTTGAAAAAAGAAAGAAAGTTAAATCATGAAAGAGTTGAATAACGAGAAATAAAGAGAGTTGAATAAAGAAATACAGGAGTTGAATAAATAAAGATTAAGTTGAATAAATAAAGTTTAATAAAGAAAGAGTTGAATCAAGAAAAAATAGTTAAAGAAAGGAAAAGTTAAAGAGCGTAGAAGAGTTATGAACTAGGGCTGCACAATCATTCTTTTCAGCATCGATATCGCAATGTGATCATTCACAATAGTCACATCGCAAGAAATGCAATGTTTATTTTGTGTTGAAATGTATCATTGGCATGTGTTTTGATGCCTGTGAGTGTATAATTATTTAAAAAAAACATTCAGGTATAAGAAACTACCATTTGTCACCTTAACTGCTATTTATTTTATTGAATTATTCTTATTTTTTAACATACAGTGTACTGTACTCTTATACTGTTAGACTCGGGAAATAATAAAACACTTTATTTCAATCTTTTTCTTGACTGTATTTATAGATTGATATACATGAAAATACAGAAATGCACTGCAAATAGCACAGACCACAACGAAAACGTGTTGGGGGACTTAAAGAAGTTTATAGATTGTTAATTAGATTTTATGTAGATGCACTCCCACTGCAGAATCATCCCAATCAATCTAACATTATAAATTCTTTCCAAATAGAGATATTTAGTCATATTGCGAAATTGCATTTACATCGCAATATATATCACAAAATTAAAAAAATCACAATGTTAGATTTTTCCAATATCTTGCAGCCCTAATAAGAACGCAAATGTTAGTGTTTTATGTCCAAAAAATAAATTCTTTCGAAGCAAGAGTGAATTAAATTGGTCAAAAAGTGAAAGTAAAGACTGTTATAACGTTATGAAAAAAGTAGAACTCTATTCACCAAGACACTATCTAATAAGCATCATAATCTACATATAAATATTATGCTGTGTTAAGTATAATATAGCATGTTCCCCCGTGTTGGTGTGTGTTTCCTCCGGGTGCTCCTGTTTCCCTCGTAGTCCAAAGACATGCTCTATAGGTGAACTGAATAAGCTGAAATTGCTGTAGTGTATGAGTGTGAATAAGCGTGAATGGATGTTTCCCAGTACTGGGTCGCTGCTGGAAGGGCATCCGCTGCTTAAAACATATGCTGGAGAAAGTTGGCAGTTCATTCCTCTGTGGCAACCACTGATGAATAAAGGAACTAAGCCGAAGGAAAATTAATACATGAATTAAGTATAATATAGTATATAATATAATATAGTATAATAAGAAGAAATGTTTCTAGAGCTCAGGTTATCAATCCTCATGTCATCAATCATAAGACTTGAGAAAAATGGTCACCGGGGGATAGTTTAAAGGGGAAAATGGCATCAACACACAACCCTCCTTATTTTATCCATCCTAGCCTTGCTCCCATGTGTTAGACCTTAAGTGTCAGTATATGTAATGAATATATAAGCTTGCCTTGACTTTATGTAAATCATTTAATATATGGTTCAAGAGAAAATAAAAACAGGTCACTGTTAAAGCTTGAAAATCACTATGCTAGAGCACCAAATTAAGTGAAGGTCGCTCAACAATCACAAGAAAAATTATATATATATACTGTATTTAATAGAAGTTATTTCAAGCTACAATGGTATTTACTTTTTTTCCCTGGTTTTCATTAAATAAATTTAGCTTCGAGAAATCTCCTTCAGAATCTTATCAACCTCAACCTTTGAACGATAATGTACAGAACAGGTGATTGGAGCAAAGGAACTGTACAGGAGGAGCAAGTTATTTCCTATTTAGAAGGAATCACACAGACAAGCCTTATTTTATAAAAGCACACTAAGACCAGGAACGTATATTAGCCGAGTCGATGTATGTTATGTTGACTTTAAAAATGTCTGTATTTTTTGATGGATTACACTTTTACTTTTACCTGCACTACACAGTTTTATCTAATCTTTAATGCAGTGGTCAGTGTGTGTTTTGTTTTGTTTTTGTTTTTGCCTGTCGAGTCTTGTAGTGATTTTGTAGCATATTAAGCTCTTCCAGTGCTTTTCACAGTAAGGATATTTCCTCTGCTTTCATCAGGAATCTCTGTCAGAAGTGGAGGAGAAGTACAAGAAGGCCATGGTTTCCAATGCCCAGTTAGACAATGAAAAAGCAAACCTCATATATCAAGTGGACACGCTCAAGGATGTCATTGAGGAGATGGAAGAGCAAATGTCCGAACTGCGCAGGGAAACGGAGGACAAATCAAAGGTGCCTGTGTTATATGTGTACAGTATTATGAAAAAATTATTCGTTTTGAGACGATTAATCCAATAAATATAGAATTGTGATCAGGGCTTGACAGTAACTTTTCTTATCACTAGCCACAATGTGTTGTTGGCAAAATATAATTTGTATGCATAAATATGACTTTGGCATGCTAAAATTACTTGGTTTAGAGTTTGTGGAATATCCACATGCCTCCTAATTCATGTTATTTTTTGTGTATGTTGTGTATGAGCTTGCTCAGTGAGCATGAGCACATTACAAATAGTTTTTATTTCACATGACTTTTCAGAGCTCAAAGGATTTACCAAATTTATCTCTATAACCATTTTTAAAATAAATAAATATTTATTTCTTAGCCACATATTTTAAATAAGCAAAATATAGCTGTATACTATACTACACATATATGGGAAGTTAATATCCTATATCCTGTTTAAATAATAGTTCAATCGAAAGCAACTGGTGCTGCTTACAAAAAGGAGCTCTTGAAAGCAGCAGGACTGTGGGTGCATGAGCATAACTTTTTGTCTAGTCTATCTGAAAGAGAATCGATAGTTGAGTTGCATTTCCAGGCACGGTTGTTTCAAGCAAGGAAACAGGAGCGCACACATGTTTTAAACAGCACATCAGCTGTTGGCGCGAGTGATTATCCTCTCATTCAGTATTCAACCGGCTTTCTTTTGCCCACACAAACAAAATTATAGTTTTCAATCATGCTGCTTCTCAATTCTAAGATCCCATTTGCACGAATATTGGGTCATCCTTATTGTCGAACCCTGCTTTTAAGAAAGCTACTATTTAAAATGAATTTTCAACCAACCAAAGTGGCTAGTGGAGGTGTCTGTCTAACCCGCCAAAGCTAAAATCTACCCGCATTTGGCGGGTGTTAGTGTAAAGCCCTGATTGTATGATCTGTTATTACCACAGTGCATAGACCCAACTGTTCAAAAATGCAATGAAAGTTCTGATGTACAGTGGGAGAAATAAGTATTGAACACGTCATGTTTTTGTCCTGGGTATAATTTCTAAAGGAGCTGTTGACACAGGATTGAACCAGATTTTGGTAAAAACCCAAACAATACAAACATAAAAATAAAACAAAACAAAAAATTCTAAAAAAAAATGAGTGTATATAATAATGAAATGACTCAAGGAGAAAGTACTGAACTACTGAAATGTATTTAATACTTTATATAAAAGGCTTTTTTTTTTTTTGATGATGATGGCAGTTTAAAAATGTGAATGAAGTCACATGAATTACTCAAGTGTGAGTTTTTTTTTTACAGACTTCCACAGAGTGTAAAAATCTTAATAGTTCTGTGGGTCTTTTTCTCTCAAATCTGAGCTTTATTTTGTCTTTTTCTATTGGATTTAAGTCAGTTGATTGGGTGGGCCTTTCTATCGCTCGATTTTCTTTCTTTGAAAGCATATGAGAGTTTTCTTGGCTCTGTTTTGGATCATTGTCTCGCTGAAATGTTCATCCTGGTTTCATCTTCATCATCCTGATAATGTAGATGTTGGACTGAAGCAGATGATATTCATTTACAATGACGAAGGGCAGAGGGTTGCTGAAGAAGTATTGAGAGATTCACTGCCTTTCTACACCTTCCTTTCTTTATGTGTTCAGTACTTTTTCCCTGCGTCGTTTCATTTTATTACACATAACTTGATTTGTAAACTAATTAGTTTTGTTTTCTTTGCGTATATGGATTTCTTTGGCTGTAACCAACATCTGGTGAAAATTTCACGTCAGCGGCACCTTTTGGAAATATGTTTTCTGAGAAAAATGTTGAAATGTTCCATACTTATTTCCCCCACTGTATTTAATACATGTTGGAAGCTTTGCCAGATTAGGATGTGAATATTTTTTGTTCTTGTGATCGACAGGAGTTAGAGCGACAGAAGCACACATGTACAGTCCTACAGCACAAACAAGAGGAGCTGAAAGAGGGCATTCGTCAGCGAGATGAACTCATTGAGGTAAAGCCAGAACAGAAGTTATATTATCGACCCACCAGAAAAATTTACATTAGACTCTCTGATTTAAAAGCTTTTGCTGAATAATCAAGTTAAAGATGATTCAGAATCATCGTTGTGATTGAAAGTGCTGTTTGTTTCATTCTTCATGGATGAAGTTCATAATCTTTATAAAATTCACTTTCGCCCAGTGAGATCCTCCTGTTTTCTCCCTTCACATGTCCCTGTATGTTCCTTTATTTCTTCTTTGTTGTGTCTTTTAAATCTCTGCTCTTTGTTTTCATCTTCTGCTTTATTAAACGCAAACCCCAGGAGAACCAGAAAATTCAGCAAAAGCTAGATACCCTCACGAGAGAGGTGTTTGACCTCCAGGAAACTGTTAACTGGAAGGACAAAAAGATTGGGGTAGGATGGAGAATGAGATGCTGTTTGGATTGAGGGTGGAAACACTTTAACTGTTTATGCATCTCTTTGTCATCCATTTAATTTTGCCAAGCCAGTCTGATTTCTTTACAAACAGTGAGTATTTTTACATGGACACTAATTATCCGATTTTAATGCAATTTAAGGCAATACTCTGATTAAGATTTTGCCATGTAAACAGCGATTTTTGGTTAATTTAATTTGATTAAGATCATAATCAAACTAAATAGAAATGGAATTAAGACATGTTGAGTATGCAAATTTTAGTTGCATTATTGGATTGCGGTACAGACATGTAGACACCGCAATCAAACTATTACCGTCATGTAGGACTTTTCGACACATATTGCGACAGGATGTTTCATACACAAACAGCTGTTTGACACTATTCTCTGCACCTATCGAGTTAGTAAAGGACCACAGACACACAACCACACACACACACACACACACACACACACACACACCAAGAAATGCGGATGTTATTTTTTTCTCCCATTCGGTGTGCGCTATTAAATTCCATTAAAACAACACTCTTTCACCAGTCCTTAATTCGTACTCTCATTCAATACCTCAGTTTGTCATGGGGGGCATGCATGAAATTTTCCTAAATGAAAATGTCAAACTGCAGCTAAGGATGACAAATGAAAAATAAAACACCTGAAATTACATAAAACTGCAGAGGAAACGTGGATAGCGAGATGACGCAATGTCATTATTCGATCTATGTACTATGACATGTAAAACAGGATCATGAAAGGAACATTCGAAAAGCAACTCATGGAAACCCCTTAATCATATTATTTAGTCTTATTCAGATTAAGGCAAATAATTCCATTACTGATGTCCATGTAAACATAGTCAAAAGTGATGTTATGTATACAGTTATTCCCTTGTTAACACTTTAACTAGCATCGTAACCGCATGGTTGACCGTTTGTCTATAGGTTTTCATTAAAACAAAACACTCAAAAATGCTTTTTTAAAAGCGTTAGTGTACTAAAATATGCATGTGCATATAAAAACCTTGACATTTTTTGACTTGTTTTAAAAAAAACAACTCTTAACTCTAAATTCTGAGTAAAACCAATTTCACAACTTGTTTTCAGTTTAATAAAATGATTTGTGTAATATGCATTGTAGTTTCTGTAATTGTAAATGCATGCTGCCCTCTGCTGGTTTCTCATGAAACTCAACTGTGTGCATGGTGCATATGAATGTAGAACATCCAGTTTAAAAAAAAAAAAGAACAAACAAAAAGGTTTTATTTTTATATACTCACTTCTGCATGAAATTAAATTTATGAAATAACTGCTGAAGATATAAAAGAGCAAGCTAATTTTCTCACTCCTTCACTTCCTGTTCATCTGTCAACTTGGTCCTATTTTCATCCTGTTATCTGTGACTAAAGCTAGGGCTGGACAATGTATGAAATATTTGTGATGGTTAATCATGATTTATTATTATTATTATTATTATTTAAGATCACATCATTAGACTGGTTTCATGAAATAAAAAAAAGAGCTCATAATTTCTTTAAATCAGCATGGTTGATTTTAAACAATCAATTTCAAATGTTCAGGATTGTCATATTTCAATAAGGCGTGTTTACATATAGTTTACATTATTCATATACATTAAATGCCTCTAATTTGCAAAATATTGTCACCAAATAATTTTAAAAAGATGAAATATTACATAAAATAAATGTATGCAAAAATAAAACAACTTACTCTGACCTGTACTTTATTAAACAGTTAAATAATTAGTGATCAAACTAACTTTTAGAATAATTTATTTAGTAAAAATGTATGGTGCTTATATGTAAAGCTATCTAAATAAATAAAAACATAAGTGCACTATTTATTTAGATAGCTAGCTATATTGTCCAGCACTAACTGCAGTGTTTTTCATTGTGTGTGTTTGCTGCTGTTTCTTTGCCTACTGTTCTCTTTACTCCTCTCTCTTTTCCTGCCCTGCGTGTGGCCAGGCCTTAGAGAGACAGAAAGAATACTTTGATTGCATTAGGATTGAGAGAGATGAGCTCAGGGATGAGCTGGCTGACCTCAAGGGGAAAAGCCGAATGGGAGAGGTACGTCCTTTAAGTGCTCCTGCACGGGATGAAAGCTTCACATCAGCACTGAGTAACAAAAATAAACCAAGCATTTGACTTGTTTATTAAATGGCCTGTTATTTGTGTAGTACCAGTTTCATCTGCGTTTCATAAACCATGCACGATGTAAAGCTTGTCTATGATATTCAGTGTTAAAATTGAATATTGATCTTTTTTTATCATGCATTATATTTATATTGACAGCTTTGATGTGAGATTTTTCCACTGAGCATATTGCAGCATATTATGGGATTGCCAGCTCTTATTTAGATACATGCAGTTCTGCTCTATGCAGATCTTAAAGAGGACATATGATGCATTTTTAAATGGTGTTATTTTGTATTTTGGTGTGCATTGTAATAGGCTTGCATGTTTTTTTGTTGTCGTTTGTTTCTGTACACCGTACATTATTTTAACACTTCATACTTTTAGTCTGCCTGAAACATTCTGGTTTCTTAAAAACTCCTCCTTCCTAATAGGAGCCCCAATATTACCTTTATAATATTATTACCTGTATTTACCTGTATAATATTATACTTCCTAATATTTCGCCCCAAGTCTAGGGGAAACAAAAAGGGCATAATAAACGAAGAAAAATAAAAACAAATGTGTTGGGGTGGTGGATTTCCCAAACAAAACAAAATTTAAAGAAAAAGATTCCCTTTGGTCGACAACCAAGCTCACACACTCAGTTGAGAGTATATATGAATAGATTTATTATAGAAAAATGTGATTAATATAAATGAGCATTTCGTCAGGGTGACCACAGGCCAAAATAACAAACAAAAGAATCTATAAAATAAATCCACTAAATTACCTATTACTATTTAAAGAAAAATACAAAAAAAGCTTACCTAACTCCCTAAACATAAACAAAGTTAAAAGTAGTCAAATAAATAGGCAGGTCACCCCTACACGCTCAAACTCTCAAAAATATTTTAACGAATGATGGTCATCAGTACAATGTTGGTTGTTGGTCGTCGGCCGAAGGGGTGAGGGAAACCCAGGAGCTCCACTCCAAACACTGAACGCACAGAAATGAGCTCCCGGATCCCTGCCGGAAGCTCCTTTTTATACATGCTTTTGCGACCAGCAGCCAATCAGAACAGGGAATCACGCGATCATGGGAGCATATGAGACAACAGAAAAACAAGGAGGCGGGACAAAAGAAAAAGACAGAGTGCATCCGCAATAATAAATAAATAAATAAACTCCAGTCGTAACACCCAGAGTCCTCTGATTGGCCAGCTGACCAGCCTCTTTTTCAGTAATGTAACATTATAATTACAACCTTCCATGTATTGTAAAGCAAATGTAAACACAAAAGTTTTGTGCACAGTTCTTCGAACTATTGATGTTAGAGGTTTGTGGAATAGTTTTAAATGAATGGATTTAGCCTGGTCTGAATCAGTGCTCTCTGTTAGATTGAATAAATCTATTTATGGTAGACTAAGACATTTGTAGGTCTTTTTAATGCACAGGTACATTACACAGTAAATGAAAGCATTACAAAGCATCATTTGACTTCTTTAAAATAAGTGTATTTATGAGGCAGCAGTCCTGCATTGTGCGCATGGGGAATGTCACTGAAAAATGTCACCCATCTCTCACAGAAACATGGGCTGGTCATCATACCCGAGGACACACCAAATGGAGATGTCAATCACGAGTCGCCTACGTCAGGCATCACTGTGGTGACACAAGAGGCAGCGCAGGTGCTGGAGTCAGCGGGAGATGGACCTTTGGGTGAGTCTCTGAACTAATGCTGACAATTTTCAACTTCTTCACATGAATGATTGTGGTTTAAATTAACAATTTGATAAATCCTGAACCTTAATGTCCTATTGAAATTAAAGTTATTCCTTTAGGTGTTGGTATCAATATGTTAATCTATAATCCAAAGCAGTGGTTTTCCTCGAACTGTCATTTTTTTTGTATGCATCGTATATTCTTGCAATTGCCCTAGTGTGCCAGCATCAGTTTATTTATTTCAGTTCAGTTACTTTTGTTATAGACTTGTCGTCGTACACCCCTGGTTCACTAACACATGTAATGTGTACATATAGGTATTGAAATCTGGTACTGAATGACAAGACATTTTTCAATACTTGTCAGTATAGAGACAATTAGGTTGGCACCTAAAAAGACCTCGATACTCCACTCTACAGCTAATTTTACCACGTGAATATACATGATGTGTAAAGCCTATATTTAGTTATTGGCCCACTTTATTGGTATTTACATACCTCACACGGATGAAACTTTAATATTGATGTATTACATGTTCATAAACCAAACTTACCAGTTTAGTTTGCTGACCTGCTAATCCATTTATCCAATGTTTAATGACCTGATAATGCTGTGCGCAATGGATGCAGTGCAACACAGTATAACCAATTTCATCAACAATTAATCAGTTGTTCATAAATCATTGATTCAAATAAGGACGGATGATTAAATCAAGTAGGGATTAATGTCATTATGCTACTAATAATGAATATATAATATAGAGAATATTTGTGTTATAATAAAAATGTCATGGTAATGTTTGATTCTCGTCTTCATATCCCTAGATGTAAGACTACGAAAGCTTGCGGATGAAAAGGATGAACTTTTGTCTCAGGTATGATCATATATGAAGCAATTGAAACTGGATTATTGCCGTAGAAGAGTTGAAGTAACGCATCTCTGCACTTTTAGATCAGAAAACTGAAGATGCAGCTGGAGGAAGAAAGACAAAAGCATGCAAAGATCGACAGTGTTTACACAGAAGGGGAGCGAATGGAGAACGGCACTGACCTGCATTTCATCGAGATGCAGAGTACGACCACTGACACGACATACAAACACAGGCATTACACTACAATATAGGGCTGCACAAAAGTGGAAATATGTGTGATAAAAATGTGATATTTTTTTCCTGCAATATATAGTCAAACCCAAAGTAATTCATACCCCTTGCAGATTCTGACTGCCACTTTTAGTTCAAAGGTAAATAAAAGCTGAGAAATATATTTTTTACACAATGATGCATCTTGTATATGGTCTTATTATCTTTTGGGAGATGCCAATATGATTTACAGTAAAAAAAACAAGAACATGCTGACTGAATAAAAGTAAATTTAAGTCAAAATTTGCCAGGGGTATAAATAATTTCGCACTTGACTATTATACAACTTTACAAGATGACTTGAGTAACATGCTTTTTATAAAGAACGGATGGTTTTGTAGGGGAGTGAATCACTTATAAAATGTATTTAAAACAAACTTCAAGCATAGATGATTACAATAGAGCAAAAATAAAGGGAAAGGGGCAGAAATTAAATAATCAAATGTAAAACTTTAACTGTAAAGTCTTTATAAATAATTGAATAATATTATCCTTTATTAAAGTTTCAAATGGTAACCTTTACTGTGCCTGAATGCTTTAAACGCTTTCAGGTCTTAAAAACATATACAATTGATAAAATTTCACTCCATTATGTTTAAACTCTGCAGTGACGCCACAAATCTTGTGTTTGAACTGTCTACTCTACTATAATCCTAATTCTGTGTTTACTTTTGCGGATGTACGCATTGTGATATCAATGCTGAAACAATATATTGGGCAGCCCTGCTACAATAACATCCATGTGTCATAGACACACACACACACACACATGCTTTAACACCATCTGTTTCCTGTAGGGGACACCAATAGACAGATAAGTGAATACAAATTCAAGCTCTCAAAGGCTGAACAGGAAATGGCAACGATGGAACAAAATGTAAGTGTGTTTATGGACGAACAGCACAATCATTTACAATAATATTTATTCATGTTCATTAATATTATAAATGTAACAAATTGTACGCTGAATTATTTACGTAGAACATCCATATTTTGACTATTTTCACAAAATATTTTTGAATGAATGTAATGTGTATTTGAAAAAAATAATGTATGCTTTTCTATCTATATCATATGTGTATATTATATACATACGTTATATGCATAATTATGTAAATTTGTCAATGACACACATGAAGGATGTATTAATATGTAAAATAGTAATATTGTCAAATACTACAATCTAAAATAGCTGTTTTGTATTTAACTATATTTTAATTGTAGTGTCTAAATAGAGTTTGTGATTGCATTTTTATTCCTTTTATTTTCAAAATGTACAAATATTTGAAGGTAATATAAAGTTTGTAATGTAAAGGATTGATTTATATGAAAACATGTAATAAAACTAATAATGATCAATTATTTTAGATGTTAAAAATAAGAATTGAATATTAGTATGTGTTCTGTTTTCTTCTGTGTCTTGCAGGTAAACAGACTTGAAGGACAGGTGTCCAGATATAAGGCTTCAGCAGATAATGCAGAAAAGATAGAAGATGAACTGAAAGCTGAGAAGAGAAAACTTCAGAGGGAGGTATGAACTCAACACTGGAAAAAAAATACAATCAGGCCCCGTTTACACTAATAGGTTTTAGTTTTAAAATGGCGTTTTAGAATGAAAACGATCCACATCCACACCGGCGTTTCAGCTAGCGTTTCTAAACAGCTCTTCGTCCATACTACACCACTGAAAACGCACATCACATGACCACACACACACACACTCTGGCATGCTCCAGGCAGTCGGCGGGTGCTTTAAGCACACTTCCACAGGTGAGAGCAGCGCATGTCCGATAGTTCATCAAGGATATACCCCTGGATCTCATATCACTATATTTGTTAAAGGGCCATGAAACCCCCTTGTTTCAGCAGGGTGTTTTCACACCTCTACTTTGGAAAAAGTCAGAAAAGTGGGCGTGTCAAGCTCTGTTTAGGGGGGAGAGTCAAAATATACACACACACACACACACACACACGGGAGAAAGTGAAGGTGTTTACATGGACATATGTTGAATTTTTTGCCAAATAATTAAATGTTGGACTTTAACTGCAGTTTGGCTCTTTTAATTAGGGAATTCATTTATGCCCCTCGCGACAAACTAGATATTTGATTCGAGGAACTGCTCTAAGCGTGTATTTTTCATGCAATGTTTGATACCGCACGGCGAATGAGAGAAAAAAAAACCTCCGCATTTCCCGGAAACTTAGATGCACACAGCAGGTAGCGTCAGAAAGTCGCGTGTGTTATTCCAGTCACAAAATGCGGCGAAAATCCTACACGAGGTTAAAGTTTGGTTGTGGTGCTAACATGTTTACACTCGGTGCAATAGTTAACTTAGTTCGATACGAACAAACTGAATAAACAAAGAGCACTGGTCTGTAGAGACCGGACAATCACCAGCAACTAGTGCCGCGTCTTTATGAAGAGAAGACTACAAGCGAATCCGGATCTCAGCGTTTGGAGATGAGAACAGCTCTCAGGTAAACAATAATCCTCCTTAGACACGTAAGTTATTGTTGTCGAGCGTCGCGTACACTGTTAATCCACACGTGACTCCAGCTGCGCTCTCACAGAGAGAAAATGAAAACAAAACTTAACTGCAGCAAACTATAAAAGCATCACTTCACGCTTGTTTTGCCAACACAACGTGGCGTCTCTGTCGTCGAAACTCTATGACAGTAATGAATATTAATGAAGTTGCACAATAGAGCGCGCTGATTGGTTTGAACCAAGCCTTATTCATGCATTAATGCATCACACTGTAAGACGTAATAAGACACACTCTGGCACAGACGTCCAGTCTGCACGCTGGAATACAACGCTATTATGTCATGGCCGTGACGCAGCTTCAAAAATTAGTTTCAAACCGGAAGTACGAATTTGCTTGAAATAACGCAAAAACAACCAATTTACACTTTTTAGTGAAATATAGGTGTCCTAATAGTGTTTTTAGCAGTGTGGGACACATACAACTGTCAACAGCTCAAAAAATGTGTTTTGGTGTTTCGTGACCCTTTAAACGTGAAATTTAATTCATCTGTTCTCTATCTAACGACTCTTCTGTCTTTTGAATCTATACTTTTCTCAGGAATTGTGTTTTGGCTGAGCGCCAAGAGTTTTTATATTAATTTCTGTAACCTCTAAACACCGTCATCTATGTAGATTTATTTATTTTTAATGGACACAAGAGTAGTACCACTAAACAATCCAGATGCCAAATCCTCACTCAACATTTTTTTTTTGTTTTGTAGCTGCGCACAGCACTAGACAAGATCGAAGAAATGGAAATGACCAACAACCATCTTGTAAAGCGCCTAGAGAAGATGAAAGCCAACAGAAACGCTCTTCTGTCGCAGCAGTGAAGACGGACTCCCCAACACCGCACAGTAGGACACCAAAAACAAAACCGCAGGCCCTTTACCTTGTTTTACACCCTACTAAAGCAACATGGTCAGGGGAGGGAGCCACTAAACCTGAGAATGTTCTTCTGATGGTTTTGTTGTTGTTGGTTTTTTTAAAAAGCTTGGTACGTCATGGTAGCCGTGAGGTTTCATTACTCGGACTGGGTGCCCCCCCCCCTTTCTCTTTTGTAATTTGCATGAGTATAAAAGCGCTTTTTAAACTGTACATCAACCTGAACGCAGGGCCCTCGACATCCGTGTAAATGCTTACACAGCAATGTGCCTTCACAGGGAGGATGAGGGTTATATGCATTATAACACTATACATGAAAACCATATATTTCTACCGGTACGAAAAGAAAACATTAATGTGTTTAATTAAGGGTACGGCCATGAGTTGAACATTATAGAAAATCAATCATGTCTGCGATGGTTTCAACTAAGTGTTTTTTTTTTGTTCCTCAAATATTTAAGATATTTCTTGAAAATAAATGTGTAAATGAATGCAGTATGAATGGGTGGATGATTCATGAATTGTGATTGTTTGCAGGGCACATTGATATTATTTTTTTGAAGTGCTTTTTCACAATGGACTACATCAGTTTTACACTAAATGCAGCGATTTTAAACTCCCAGTGAGAGACCGTTGTTTCTACTGTGACATTGTGAGATCTCAGATTTGTGTCCCAAATGCCACTCGATGCCTTTCACGATGCTGTTGTATTCAGGTTTGATGCAACTTCTTTCTTTTTTTAAAAATCACACTAGAAACAAATTGTCTGACACTTCACGCACACAGTGATTGACTAAAGCAACTGCAAAGTATACTGTAAATAAACTACATGATTTACAAACTGACTTTTCTTTCAGGAATTGTTTTTAAATGTGATTTCTACATCACAAAGGACCTGTTTTTAGCTGCTGTTAAAGGGCTGGGGTCATTTGCTTCCATGGTTAACAGTTTATCCTGGGTTTTCATAATATGTTGTTACATGCTGTAACATTCATTCATTCGACTTAGTCCCTTTATATCCGGGGTCGCAATGAACCATCAACTTATCCAGCATGTTTTGCACAGCAGATGTCCTTCCAGCTGCAACCCAATACTGGGAAACATCCATACACACTTATTCACACACATACACTACGGATATTTTAGTTTATCCAATTCACCTGTACCACATGTCTTTGGACTTTTGGGGAAATGAGAGCACCCAGAGGAAACCAACTCGGGGAGAACATGCAAACTCCACACAGAAATGCCAACTAAACCAGCGACTTTTTTTCTGTGAGGCATCTTGTTGCCCCATGCCGTAACACTTGGACTTCATTTATCATGATGATGCAAAGTGGTGCAAACCCAGCGGCCTGTACCATGAAGCTGGAATAGCTGGCTAGCCGATTAAATTTGTTTGGTTTCCACCAATTCTGGGTTTTAGATACCATGAAGGTAGCTCAGCTCAGCTGCTCTATAATACCATGGCAACAAAGAGTAATTAAGTCGAGCTGCCTTCAAATTACCTAAAAGCCAAAATTGGTACAAACTAAACTAAGACCATGGGCACGGGTACGGTGTAATGGATGGCTGACGTGACGTGTTGAGATCCTGAAATGTGAGTGTTTTAAAACACTGCACCGAAGCATGATCCAAAAAACACCAGGGGCCTCATGTATCAACGCTGCGTACGCACAAAAACTTTGCGTACGCCAAGTTTCACGCTCAGAATCGCTCACGTTTGGATTTACTAACAATGAACTGAACGTGGGAATGTGCGCAGGTTCACGGCAGCTTTCTGGCAGGCGTACGCACATTTTTTGTGCGTGTCTGTTTTATTTCCATTGGCGACTCCTAGAGGCAGTTGTGTTAAATTCTTCTCTACAAAGTGTCTGATCCTTGCAATGGCGTCTGTGTGAGACGGGTTCATATAGTCGGTATGTAAGATTTCCATACCATACAGTTGACCAGCTAAACATTAAAGCCTAATTTGCAGCGGTCGCCTGTTTTCCCAATGTAATCTGAGCAATCTACCGCACACACATTGCTATAAAGACACTATCTGAAGATGAATTTGCATGCGTGAATCAGAAACATTTCCATTCAATAAATGTGCAAATAAAATATGATGCACAAACTTATTGATGATTCCTACTTGTCTTTCTCGTGATAAATAGTGGGCAAAATCTGATATGTAGCAGGGAAAAAAAGAAGAAAGAGTTCATCAGACACTGGATTCGAGCCGAGTTTTTGCTCGAACGAATCAGTATATGATCACATGCTTCTTATGAGGTGCGCCACTGAAACTGCTAAGCATACTGCAACATTTTACAGATATAAACCACACTATTTCTTTTTTGAATGCACTTAGTGCGATGTTCAGACCCAACTGTGTTAACCGTATCAGCTAAACTCTCCCACTCTATTTTTTTCTTTTGTTGTTAATTCCGGAGAACAAACTTGCAAATAACACCGCTTTTCTCCGGTCTACCTCCGAAAGCAGCACCTCCAATTCACATTCTGTTCAAAGTTTCTCTTTTTGCTTGATTTTGCCGTTGCTTTTTCGTTGGGTTTTTCCATTAGCATAGTCATTAGCATATTCATACGGGGGAGGAGGCAGGGAGGGGTTTTGTACTCGTGCATGTTGCGCTCAGTTTCACGTTCATTCAGATGTACAAAAGAATATGCGTGAGATTCGGCGTACGCAGTGTTTCATACATCTGAATTTTTTTCTGCGTACGCACATTTACAGCTTTGTGCGTATGCAATGTTTTAGTAAGATTTCCACGCAAGTCTTCGTACATGAGGCCCCAGGTCCCCTCACTGTGTAAAGCGCTTTGAGTGCCCAGAAAAGCACTATATAAATGTAAGGAATTATTATTATTATTATTATTACTAAAGTAATTCAAAACATTGTTCATTTAAGATGCATTTCGAATCTGCGTTTGACAGGGTAAAAAAAAAACACCTTTATCTTATGTAGCCCAGTGGACCCTGCGTGTGCACAGAGTAACTGCAAATGGCCAGAGTTTGAATTCAGACTTGAATTCAGTACAAATGCTCTAAAATTATGATTTGGTGTGTTTTAATGTTACTTTTTTATGACCAAAACAAGACCTCTCACCGCTCAACTAAATTACTTGAAACCTTAATTATTCCACATGGGGTTTAAAACCTCAACTAGCTTAACTGTTACTTTGAATAAGCTGTTTTTTGTAAATTGTCTAGGCCAATACATAAAAATGAGCATTTAAGTGTCACTGTACAGAATGCTTTTAAAACATTTCGAAGCTTCGACTGTTTCATCGTTTCATGAAGCCTCACGTTGCCCACCACTAGTTAAGAGTTAGACTTGGGATCCAAAGCTTTCAGGTTTAAGCCCTATCACCAGCAGGTCATTCCTTTGATAAGCCACTGAACTCCCAATTTCTCTGGGTATGTGTTTAAAGGTGCTCATGTGGTTTTAGTTAAAAGCATCTGCTAAATGCATAAATGTAAACTTCAAATCTAACCGGCTAGCCAGCTAATCCATCTGCTCTCGAGCAAGTTTCATAACCCTTGGTAAAAACCTATCCTATTAATCCTATTTCTAATTGTGTGAAACATTTATTTACCTGAAATTAAAGGGGACAGTTCGCCCCAAAATTAAACTTACCTCAACATTTACTCACTTAAGTGGTTCTAAACCAGGGTGCAGATTACAGGGGCGAATTATCTCATTCTTATATGTATTTTAAATAATAATTTTAATAATTAAAATTATAGATGGTATATACATTTGACCACCTCTAAAACCATTGTGAATGCATACTTGCACCAATCAGACTATTCTTGGTAAAAGTCTGAAATTGGAAGATCTATAGCACCAATAGACATTGTGTTCACAAGACTGTTTTCTCGTAAAATAGGTGCAGATTAACGTTTGTAGTTTGATCTACAGTAACATCTGAAATAGCTAATCAGAATACTGTAGGACGGAATACACCTAGAATATCCCTCAAAACACTGAAAACTTTAATATGTTTTATTAATAAACTAGATGTAATCAAAAATAAATGCATAAATGACTGAAGCATGTATTGTCAATGGATATCACACACCGTTTCAAACCAAACTTTTAAGATTTTCTTCCTTTTGTTGAACAAAAAAATATTCTAAACCTTTTGGGAAAAAACATCCAGAGTAGGAACAAAAATTACCATGCAATCAATTGCTATTTTCCCAACATTCTTCAGTATATCTTCCTTTGTGTTTAACAGAAGAAAGAGACTCGCGCTGGTTTGTGATAAGTGGATGACAGAAGTTACATTTCGGGTGAACAACGATAAACCAGGACGATATCAAAATCAGTGTTGTATGACTTAAGGGAAGGGCATTGTGGAAATGTGTCAGTTTAACATTTTAAAAGACAATCCAGTTAACAAAACTTCAAAAATATAGACTTTTTATTCATTCACAGTACAAACATTTATAAAAGCTCACCGAGCAAGCATTAAACCGATTAGACAGTGCTGGGGTTCAGCATCTTTCAAACACTTTGTAGAGGTCAGGCAGGCTGGCGATCTGCAGGACACTGCCGTCTTCACTCAAGTGTTTGGCAGGACTGAAGAGAGAGCGCAAAGCTTTGAAAAGCACATGCTCCACCTTCCACTGCCAGCTCATCTCAGCATCCTGAGTGAACACGTTAACACATTAGCCCCTTTCACACATGCAGACTTTTCCCAAACATTCACAGGCAAATTCTAGTAACTATTTGACTTTTTAAAATTTACGCTGGTAAGTTCGTTCTGGCAGCATTATGGACAGGATGTCTTAAATTCTTAAATTTCCCAAACTAAATTTTAGGCTTTTAGAAGTCTTACTTTCACTGAAATGTTGTGGTGTAGGTCTGAAATCATTTTAAATGGGTCTTCATTTTACTATGTCTGTTTAAAGTTACCAAATCAGGCCAACACCCATCAAATCACCAACAATACATCTCAATAGAACTTTAACAAAAGTTACATTTTTAACCCTATTTACTAATATATTTTAAACTATCTTTGTTTCAAGAACATTTGTTTAAAAGTTCTCCATGTATTTGAAGCTATTTGGTCATTGACTTGAACAAACTGTTGTGCATGCATTTAGTTCGTTATAGTTTTAAAACATGTAATTTTAAAACAAACAAACATTGTTAAATAAAAATTAGTGCACGTATACAACTATATTTTGCATTTATTTTAACACATGATTTCATATTTGTAGCCAAGAAAAAACTAAATTAGAAATGTTTTGATGAGGCAAGTAAAAATCGGTTCTATTAGTTCAATCAGGCCATCAAAAAAAAAAAATCCTTAGTGTTTAGCTGTGTATAAGTCTGAAATTTCATTCATAGTAGTCTTAAAAAAAAGTCTTAAATTTGACTGGACTAAACCCGCAGAAACCCTATACTCATATGTATATTTTCTGGTATTACTATATATATGTTTGTTTGTGTATAGCATTATGATTACCTGTGGCTCATCTGCGTCTGCCTCCAGTGTGTAGCTTTTCCTTATGGAGTAGAAATGACTGCATTCAACACTGAATTCACGGAAACACTCCTTTTCTTTATCCCAGTTCACCTGTTAGTTATATTTGACATCAGAATTTTTATTTATTAATATTTCTATAAAACCTTATAAACTACAGCCTAGAGTTGGATGAAATGCCAACCTCAGTGGCTAAACGCAAAATGAACATTGGCAGTCCCTCCATGGCAGGAGTGTAATTATCCAACAGCATTGGCAGACCTGTCAGGTTTCCCTCCTGTGAAGAAATTACACAACAGAATAACTAAATAACATTTACATCTTTCATCACGTTGCCATTTTACCACAGTTAATTAGTTTAGTTAGTTTGCAATACAAACAAAAATGTTTTTATTTCTATAATTTAAATTATGGCAGCGCGGTGGCGCAGTGGGTAGCACTGTCGCCTCACAGCAAGAAGGTCGCTGGTTCGAGCCCCAGTTGGGTTAGGTGGCATTTCTGTGTGGAGTTTGCATGTTCTCCCCGTGTTAGCATGGGTTTCCTGTGGGTGCTCCGGTTTCCCCCACAGTCCAAAGACATGCACTATAGGTGAATTGGGTAAACTAAATTGTCCGTAGTGCATGTGTGTGAATGTGTGTTTGTTGGTGTTTCCCAGTGATGGGTTGCAGCTGGTTTGTGGTTAATTCCGTTGTGGCGACCCCTGATTAATAAAGGGACTAAGCTGAAAATAAAATGAATGAATGAATTTGAGTCCTCCTGGCTTCATCGTGCAGTTAAAGGGATTGTTTGCACAAACATGAAAATTCTCAGCATTTACTCACACTCAAGTGGTACTAAACTTTTATGAATTTCTTTCTTCTTCTGACCACGAAACAAGATATTCTGAAGAATGTTGGAAAAAATTCAGCCATTGAGATACATAGTAGGAACACTTTGTAAGTCATTGGCTGTTTTTCCCTCCTCCATTCTTCTGAATATCTTGTTTTGTGGTCAACAGAAAGAAAGAAACTCAAATAGGCTTGAAACCAGAGGAGCAGACTTTATCCATTTACATTAAGACACGCCAAACCTGTTCAAATAAATAGTTACAGCTTCTTAAGCTTACTGCAAATCTCATCCATTTTCCTTCGGCTTAGTCCCTTATTTATCTGGGGTCACCACAGCGGAATGAACCGCCAACTAATCCAGCATATGTTCTATGCAGAGGATGCCCTTCCAGCTGCAACCCAGTACTGGGAAACAACCATTTACACTCACATTCACACACTCATACACTGGCCAATTTAGCACATGTCTTTGAATACAGAAATGCCAACTGGTCCAGATGGGACTTGAACCAGTAACCTTCTTGCTGTGAGGTGACAGTGCTAACCACAGATTCACCCTTGCAAATCTCTTAAATTGATATAAGTGGAGAATGTGCCACTCACTGCATCTATTTCCAAGGAAAAGTATTCTTCCAGCATTTCTGCTTTCTGCTTAAGGAAATCCACAATATACTGGGCCAGTCCTTCTTTCGGACCATCCTCCTCTGTCCATCCACTTTCCTCTGAATCCAGAGCCAACATGGCCAGATCATAGAGCGGCGCTGGATTCTGAACAAACACAACTTTAGTTTATGTCTGTTGAGTTCATCTGATCTTACTTATTTATATTTAAAGGCACAGTATGTCATTCGCACCTCTAGAGGGCGCATATTTACAACAAACAAAGTCAGTTTGTTGACACTAATTCAGTGTGGAATCATTGGGAGTTTTATAACATCCTACGGAACTCTTGAACAGCAGAAATCATATCGATGGATGAGCTAAAGTATTCAACTCTTATTATCATGTGGCGCTGCAAAAAGGGGCGGATTAAACAAGATTATTAGACATTAAAAAAAACGAGCGATTGCTCCATGTTTTACATTCCTGTTCATAGAGCTCATATTTTGATCCTCGACTGGTCTCACGCAGTCAATCTGATTTCGCAAGTAAGAGGTTACCATACTTGAACTTTGCACTGCAGCAACCTGCGAAACTTGACGTATGACCTTGCGCTTCCGGTCTGATGCAGCGCTGTTTTATCATAATACGCTCCATCCCACTAATAAAAATGCTTTAAAAACCACAATAAAACATGGGATAATTTAAGTACATATTTAAACAAAATAAATATCACTGTTCTAGTGTTTTTTAAGCTTGCATATTGTGCCTTTAATTACAAAGAAACCATTAAAAAACAAAAATACAATGAATGTAACCCACCGACAATCGAAGAACGCCGAAGTTACCAAAGTCGTAGACTAAAATTTGATAAAACAGCTCCTGACTGTAAAAAACAGAACAGAAATTAATGTTTGTTAACACAAACTGACTATAAAATAGTGAAATTATTTAAAAATATACAGTCAAGCCTGAAATTATTCATTCATGAAATATTATTCATATTTTTTTCCACAATGATGCATCTTGTATATGGTCTTACTAGTTTTTGGGAGAAGCCCATGTCATTTACGTTGAATAAATGTAACTTTGTTAGAATTTGCCATAATTTTCAGTCTTGACTGTATATATCCAATAGCAAGAGTCATGAATGAAGTGGTTTTTCACCTGAGTTTGGTTGTATTGAGCAGGTAGAGTTTGGTCTGGTGCTGCACCAAAGTCCACTGAGGACTGACTGAACCTACAAATGAGTGATTCTGCAGCAGCTCCTGTAAACCTGTGAGGACAAACACAGCCTTCAAAATGCTTGCAACTACAGTTGAAGTCAAAATTATTCGCCCTCCTGTGAATTTTTCTTTTTAAATATTTCCCAAATGATGTTTAACAGAGCAAGGAGTTTTTCACAGTATGTCCTATAAAACTTTTTCTTCAGGAGAAAAGTCTTATTTGTTTTATTTCGGCTAGAATAACAGCAGTTTTAAAAAATTTTAGCCCCCTTAAGCGATATTTTGTTTTTTATTGTCTACATAACAAACCACTGTTATACAATGACTTGCCTATATACTATATCCTAATTAACATAATTAAGCCTTTAAATTGCACTTTAAGCTGAATGCGTGTATCTTGAAAAGTATCTAGTGTTTTTTTTCGGCCGTGTTTGTAAAAGGAAAACTTTAAGCAAGACTAAAAACTTTGGTGTGTTCTATTTCCTGCTTGACCTTTGTGAGTTTGCAGCTCAATCTGGTCCCGAAGCTCCTTTATGCTGGTCAGTTTAACGATTCGTCTCCTGGGAAGAGAAGCAGCTGTCAAATCCTCCTTCACCTCCTCAACATGAGGCCTTTTCCTGAAACACACACACACAGATACACAACAGGCTCATCTTCTGATTCCACAGAGTACATCGAAGAGTGAGTACTGCAATTGTTAATATCTACATTCTTTAATGTCAAAAGATATTACTGCCAGGCTGCTCTTACCATGAAATATATTTTGCAGAAATGTGGAAGTTTGAAAACCATTAGACAAAATTTTTAATAGGAGAGTATTTTGATGGATATTTTTAAAAAGGTACCACCAGGAAGAATTTTTAATTATTTATCAATAATTTAACTGAAAAATCATATTTAACATTGAATATATTTTTGTGTGATATTTATTTATTTATGTTTTATATATTTGTATAAGTAACTTTTTATTTTTATTAGTTTCTATCATGTAATATTATATGTATATCTATTTTGTCATGAAATAGCCATAAGTTGCTGATGTGGCTATAAAAAAACGAATAAATAAAATAAATAAATAATGTCAAATGATAGCTTTGTTCTTCAAACAGTCAAAAAACTGAAAATTTCCTTGGTGAAAACATTTGATTAACTTACAAATAGCACTGAAAATCCATGGATATATTTTGTGGCTGTAGAGATATTTACTTCAGATGTTTTTTTTTACCAGTTTTCTGGAGTACTTTATTTTTTTAGATTTTAACAGATTTGTGTGTGTTATTGAGCGTCAGTTAAGACAACATTAACACCTGTCAGCTTTAATTGTGGGAAAAACTGGATACTTTTGAGCTTTTGTCAGCTAATTTCATCTTCCAGGTTTAAAATCATTTTTGGGGCGGGATCAAAATTGGTGGTGATGCATCGGTTTCTCATTTTTATTCATAGCAAACTTTTCTTATCCTATGAGACGGCCCTGCTTCTTAATTATTCATGAGAGCACGTGCTTTCCAGAAGGCAAGGCAGACCTGCCAATCTGTGAGATTCAATGAATGGGTGAGACTGTGTCCACGCACAGCACAGGTAGTATGCGTTTGTTTCCAAGATTCACGATGTTTGTTGTTTGTTTTTCTCCGTGATGCTGTCAGGGCCGATAAAGCGAAGCTGTTAGTTTACAGCACGCATTTTTGTCGAGAGAGCTGTATGAGAATTGGAGAATGGCAGACTTTGTCTTTTATCAGTTAAGTTCGTTACCATTCAGACACATCGGCTATCCGTGCTGCTTTGTTTGCCTATTTTAAAAATCCTAAATTCACCAAAATTTTGTCTTGTAGGTCTTAAATAATTGTAAATGGGTCTTAATTTTTCTTTGTCCATAAAAAGCCACCCAATTGGGTATACACTCATCCAATCCATCATAAAAGAACTTTTACCAAAACTCTATTTACCAATATGGTTTAATTATCGCTCTTACAATAATGTTTGTTTAAAAGTTCTCTGTGTATTTATCGTTTATATATGGTGAGGACACTGACCTGGACGAACTGTTGTGCGTGCATTTAGTTTATTATAATTTTTAAAGATTGTATGTGAAATGTGTAAGAATACAACTAGGGTGTGCTTGTTTTGACAATTTAAAATGTGTGGCTAAAAATTTACTTACTATAATATAATCTATAATAAATAAGTCCTATAAGTCTGAAATTGAGTTAATAATGGTCTTAAAAAAGTCTTAAATTTGACTTTGTGAAACCTGCAGAAACCATGGAATTTAGTGTGCTGTCGCTTTAAGAGCCAGTGCAGTTGCTTTATGTTTTCACTTTCACATGATGTTTCATTCTTAACTCTTTATGTTCAGTTAGTTCTTCATAACAAACGGGAAATAACATGAGAAATTACTAAGTGCCACATTTTTGCATGTATATGATCGGTTAGGTGCTCACCTTAAGATGACAACATGGTGTGTGTGAGGCTGAACGCACACAACAGCATGCGTTCATTTTCACGCTTTTTAAAACATTAATGAATCGAATAAACATCAATAAATGAATCGCGTTCCTTGCTGCTAAAGTCACACTATAATACATGCTTTAACTAATTTTCATGTGAAACTGAGCTTTGCAGTGGAACAAATGCATACTGCTGGAAAATAGGCGGGATATAACACAATAATCATTTTATCTCTATTCATGTTTTTTAATAATTGTTGGAAGCCAAAATTGATATCAAAACTGAATTTCGATGAATTGCTCAGCCCTAGTGCATTATCTGCATTTCACCTTGGTGGTGCTTCATCACCAGGAGGTTGAGCATCAGTCTGAGGATCCTTTCCGCCACACGGCTCCACATCAGCAGCTGTCAGCAGCTCTGCGTCGTCCAGCTCCACCAAGTCTTGTACAGCAGTTGACGTGCTGGAGGTTTTTTCTGTCTTTCTTTGAGCAGCAGTTGATGAAGATGAGGCTGATGGCTGGAGAAATGCATCAAGCTTCTGGGCTTTACTGTCAGTGCGGACCATCTGATGGGCGTAAACTCGCTCCTGGGAATCTGCTGAGGAACTAGAAGCTTTTGCCACGCTTGCAGATGCTGAAAGTCCCGGAAGTAGAGTCTGTGGATCGTACATATTAGTCAAGGGGTCAGATAAAAAAAACAAAAAACACACTGAAGGGATAGTTCACCCAAAAATGAAAATTCTGTCATGATTTATTCAGCCCTCGTTAGTTTCAAAACCCTTAGGAGTTTCTTTCATCTGTTGAACATCTGTTTGAAACTGGAGCCATTGACTTTACTGCTTTTCTTAGTAAAGTTAAAGACACCCTGAAGTATGTTTTTCAGATTTGTGTGTTGAGCATCAGTTAAGACAACGTTAATCACTGTAAGCTTTAATTGTGGGGAAAACTGGATCATTTTGAGCTCCTGTCAGCTTTTGTCTTCCGAGTGTAAAATCATTATTGGGGCGGGATCAAAATCGGAAACGTAGCGCTCAATTGCTAATGGAGCGATGACATGTCAGTTGTTTTATTATTATTCATAGACTGAGTTTTCTTATCCTATGAGAAGGTTCTGCTTCTAAATTATTGATGACAGCACATGCTTTCGATCACAGACCCATATGGGCAGACCTGGCAAGCTGTGAGACCACAGCCGCCACGCACGACATGCAGTATTTAGCCATTCATAAAGGGTGGTATGTGTTTGTTTTCATGATCCATGGGGTTTGTTGCATGGTTTTCCCCATGATGCTGTCTGGGCCGATACAGCAAAGCTGTTTTTGTGTAGCAAGCATTTTTGTCAGTAGAGCTATACGAGAATTGGAGAATGTTGGACTTTGTCTTTTATCAGTTGAGTTTGTTACCATTCAGACACATCGCCTATATCCGAGCTGTTGGTTTCGCCATACGTTTAAAATCTTTCAGATTACCAGAAGGGCTAATGGTTGGAATAGACAGCGAAAGAGACCTGCTGCACTGCTCTCTCACTGTGTCTGCATTCAGACTCTGGGATTAAGTAGGAGAGAAGTCCACCTTATTTATAGTGTTTCTATAAACACGATTATCTTAAAATGATATAACAAATTGTATTTATGTGTATATATTATATAATATTACAAATAGCCTATCATATATGTAGCAGTGCATTAACGTACTTACTGTTTATTTTCTTGCATTTAAACTTTGTAAACTGTAAAATTATGGGTTTCCTCACAGTTTGTGAAGGTAGCCTTAAGGTGGACTTAAACTGAAAGAGGGGGGTTTCATGACCCTTTAGTTTTTGTCTTGTTTCTAGGCCAAATATTTAAAAGTTCTTAAATCAAGAAGAATTTTCAAGACAAGCTAAAAATACTGTCTAATTTTCAGCTAATTTTCAGAGATTTTTCATGAAACAAGCTAAATAATCTGCCAATGGTAAGTAAAGTAATCTTTTTTCAAAACAAAAACGAGACTATTTTGTCTACCCCATTGGCAGATTTCTTTTTTTACTTGTCTAGAAAATTATTCTTGATTTACTATTTGGACTAGAAACAAGACATTAACACTAAGTGAGAAAAGCATTTTTGCAGTGTTTTTAGTTTTTTTTTTACCCTGCTATGGAGGTCTATGGCTACAGGCCATAGTATGGGGAAAAAACCTCGGCATTACATGATGCAGGTGTCTGTGGTCCTTCAATGATTCTATAGGCGCAGAGAATAGTGTGAAACAGCCGTGTGTGTGTAGACTATCCTGTCGCAAAATGCGAATATCCAACACAACGGTAATAGTTTGATTGCGGTGTTTACATATCTGTACTGCACTTTAATAATGCGACTAAAATCAGCATACTCCACCTGTCTTATTCCGATTTGTGTTTATTTTAATTATGAGCTTAATCAGATCAAATTAATCAAAAATCGCTCTTAACATGGAAGACTCTTAATCAGAGTATTGTCTTCGGATTATTTGGATTAATCGGATTATTAGTGTCCATGTAAACGCACTCACTGTTCCTTGATGATTTTAACATACAGTGTCTGTCTACACTTCTCTAGCGACAGTCTAAGAAAGCTGTTTACCTTATATCATGTTTGGAACCACCTAAAGGTGACCAAATGGTGAGTAAATTTTCATTTTTGGGTGAACGATCACATTAAATGCAAGTAAAAATTCACCTGTGTGAAGTACGTGCGAGAGGAATTGGAGCCGAGGAGTTTACTCTCGATGTGCTTCTGAATGCTCTCGATGATGGAGTCCTCGTGCAGGAAGTGCACCTCATGTTTTGTCGGGTGAACGTTTACATCAATGTTTTGAGGAGCAATCTCTAAACTTCAGAACAAGATCAAGTGCAAAGTATTAGCGTGCTTACTTCATACAATATCAAGTGTGCATAATTAGACATTTTGTGCTGTCTGTAACTATACTTTTGAGCATGCGGGTCAGTTTAGGACCATGATCTAAAAAAAAATCAGATCTGAGAAAAAAGTCAGATTTGAGCACTAAGCCTCGCAGTGTGAAAGTAGCCTAGGAGCCCGAGCCCGATTTAAACCAGACTATTTTTAATACGTCGGCTGTAAGACATCGTCAACTGCAATTCTGAGTTGTTTAAACTACAGTAATGAGTTTAGATTGATCTTATTGAATAATGCAACAAGGAGGAAATGTGTAAACTGTTTTTTTAGAATGGATCGTAACTAAAGAGGACATTAAAGGTTGACTGTCATCCTTTCTGCCATGGCAAGACTGCTTTGTGTGTTTGTTCATCATGGAAGTCCCCATTTTTTTGCTATCACCTCTTTTACACCACAAGCGCGAGTAGAACATGAGCAGTGCGTGTCTTTTTCGGCGTCCATGTTAACATAATAGAGCTTTCATACCGCACACACAAGAAGCACATCAGAGCTGAAGCAACAGTGCTGCGATTATTTTGCCGCTACTCACGCTCGATTAAAGTGACAGTGCATTGATAATGACCAAAAACACATTAAATGACAGTGAAAAGTTGCAATTTTACCAAATAAATGCATCGATTTATGCAATTTCTGCTCTACATACGCACTGCTTCACCTCTGCTTGTGCTTGCGGTGTGAATGTGTGCCAGTGGAGGAGACGCTGTTGGAGGAGCTAGAGCTGCGCATGACACGCGTTGCGAATTGTGCAACTTTGTAGACTTACATATGTTGTTTATGCCGTCTTTGCTAAAATATTCAAATAATATTTATAATTATGACATAAGCTTTTCACCCAATAAGGCTAATTAAGTAATAACAAAAAAAACACATGCTTGATCGTGGCAAGAAATATCGGCCTGACCCATACTGGGCCTGGGCAGAGAATCTAAACTGAATTTTCAGCATCATTTACAAACATTTACTGTGTTGAAAATAGTCAACACAGTCAATGGGAGAAAAACCATATTAATTTTTTGCATAATTTAATAACTAGAAAGTTTAAAAGTAGTGCATCTATTGAAAATGTTAAATCTTTTCTGACACTATAAATGTCTTTATGGTCACTTTTTACCAATTCAATTCGATTTCTTGCTGAATAGTATACATTCACTTAACTGTGATTTTCAAATAACATATGTTTGCATAAATTAAGTTATTGATTTACCTGAGATAAAGAAAAGGATGAGTGTTTTTGGGAAGATAAGCGGTGTAGACGGTCTCAATTGCTTTCTTCAAGGCACTAGACTCCACCAATCGATCTAGAAGACAACAAGGTGATTAAAAAGATGTGCTTATCCATAATAAAAAAGAAAACTTTGGTAGATTTAAACTCATAACACATACGATTGATAAAAAGGATAAGGATGCATTTCTTGACAGAGTAGTTAGCATTGGAGATGTAGCCCTTCACTTTAAAAGCAAATTTCTGATCCTCGCATTCAACTTCAATCAGCTCCCTGAAACACAAACACATACAGAGATGCTCACGTCAAATCAAAGTATGCTTTAGTTAAAATGCTCACAGTACCTGAGAATAGGCTAATAAAAGTACCTGCTAACTGCGACTCCAAACACCACACGGATGTTGTCCAGCACAGAGGCGTTTGGGAGAGTCTTCACATCTGCAACCATCTCACCTTGCTAGACAGAGAGATGAAATCTTATTATACAATTATAAATAGACTTTACTCTTTTAATTTAATTGAGTATCATTAATTATTGCTACTGTTGTGGAATTAGTTATATGATGGTATTGCTCATTAAAGTTTTTGTGTTTTTTTTATCATTTTACTATACAATATGGGTCAACGATTAACAGCAAAATTGTAAAAATAAATAAAATAAAAGTAAATAAAAATAAATAAAAGAGCAATACAGCCTGATTTAAGTGTATTTTTTAGAAATTAATGACTATTGTATGTTGTTATCATGATTTGCAGCAGATTAAAAGTTTAAAAAGATTAAAAATGTCACTCAGTGAAGTTGAAATACCAAAAGAAAAGGTCATAAAAAAACGTATTTACAACTAAAATCATTTGACGATGTATTAAAAGACTCTGATTAAAGATCTCAGTGCAGCCATACAATACCATTTAATTGTCATTTCAAAACTTTACACTTTGCCATTGTCCTTCAAACCACTGTCAGCAAAAATATTATAATTTAAAATATTTTTAAAATGATCATAATCAAAACATTTATTATGAGATATACATTTTAATTAGTAGTCAGCTCAGAATAAGTATGTGACATTATATTTGCTTTAAATTTAGCATAATCATACATTTAGTATGAGATATATATTTTAATTTCCACAGCTCAGAATATGTGGCATTATCTTTTTACTTTAAAATTAGCATAATGATAAATTTAGTATGTGGTATACATTTTAATTAGTACCGCTCAGAATAAGTATGTGGCATTATATTTACTTATACTTTATTGAATATTTTACATTATAATAAATGACAACGTAATTATTTTTCACAATGTTATGATTATACCGCCCATATTTATTTGAAGATGAAACTTTAACAACATTTAATATGTACTGTACGTATTGAGTCACACATACATTTGATCAAAAATTCTACCCATATATTTACGTTTAGCTGGCAAAATCAATACTGCTATGAAATAGGCTTGTCACCTTCTTGACAGAAAAACTTTTCCCAGAGTTGTGAATGGCGTATCTGTCAAAAAGAAATGTACGCAGGTTGACATGGACAATCATTCAGGATCTAAAGATAAAAGAAGAGCCTTCTGAATGTCGTGAAACACACCTGCTCACAACCTCGACGATTCTGGAATATTCCTCACTGGGGCTCTTTAGGGCTTTCCGTCGCGTAGACACATTATAAAACAGATCCTCTACCTGAGGGGAAAACATTAAGGAAAACGATGAATAGAGGATTTATATTGTTATAAAAATGTCTTAATGTCAGGTAAACCTACAGAAATCAGTGTCCCCTGGTTTCCAGCACAGGGTTTGGGTGGAGATTTTAGTTTCCCATCACAGTAATTGGCCCTGTCAACAAAAAGCAGTCAAAATTTGCACTTTACAAAAGAAAATAATATATAATTTATGAATTAATATTCTATGGCAAAATTGTAATGGCAAAGAAAGTGTTCCCAGAGTTCATTAAGATTCTTTGGATTCATCTTCAATTCATCTGCCTCCTCGTTTTTAAGCCAGACATGCTCAATAATGTTTGAGTCTGGTGACTGGGATGGCCAATCCTGGAGCACCTTGACCTTTGTTGCTTTCAGGAACTTTGATGTGGAGGCTGAAGTATGAGGAGGAGCGCTATCCTGCTGAAGAATTTGCCCTCTCCTGTGGATGTAAGGTAATTGACAGCACAAATGTCTGGATACCTCAGGCTGTTGATGTTGCCATCCACTCTGCAGATCTCCCGCACGCCCCCATACTAAATGTAACCCCAAACCATGATTTTTACTTCACCAAACTTGACTGATTTTTTTGAGAATCTTGGCTCCATGTGGGTTTCAATAGGTCTTTTGCAGTATTTGTGATGATTGGGATGCAGCTCAACAGATGATTCATCAGAAAAATCTACCTTCTGCCAATTTTACAAATGATCAACTAGAAGTCAAGTTGCTCGTACAACTGAGATCGATGACCAGGGCCAGACGGAATCTGCGGACGTTTTTTGTTATTTCTGCTGAGAATTTTGGTAAAAATTTGCAGATTTCTGCGGAATTATTTTGGGAGTATCCAGCGGAGTATCATAACTAAAACCTTAATATATGAAATAAAAAGTAATACATTTCTGAATAAAAACTGAATAAATTCAGATTTACACATTTACTCAAGTAAATAAACAGAATTAATGATGGGCTAAAAATCTGCAGGAATTCTGCGGAAAATCTGCGGAATTCTGCGTGCGAAGATTCCGTGTGGGCCAATCGATGACAAGACTTTTGTCAGGTAGTGTGTATTATGCAATTTATAAAATAAAAAATAAATATATACCTGTAAGCACATTTAGCATCTGCTGTTTTTGTGGTGATGGTGACGTGAGCTACATGACTTATACTGGCGAGGGCCTACAAAAAGAAGAATAGAGCTGATTTATTAAAGTTGATCAATAAACAGTGGGATTATTTTCAGATGAAGGGATTCATACTTCTCCTCTGAATCCGTATGTTGCGATGGATGACAAATCTTCAAAAGACTGCAGCTTGCTGGTCGTAAAACGCTCACAGACTATTTCCATATCATCTTTCTGTTAAACATAAACACACAACAGCTCCAAACAATATATCTTAATACTTAAAATGAGTTTTTAATGTGTGACAGATAAAAAAAAGAAGTGATTTACTCTAATTCCAGTGCCATTGTCCTGAATAAGGATGAGTTTCAGTCCGCCCTCTTTCACTGTTATCTGGATGTTCGTAGACTTTGCATCCAAACTAGAGATTTAACATGAAGTTTTTAAAATATTTACCAAAAACAAAAGTTTACTATATATGATATGATTTGAAAAGGTGGTAAAGTCACACTTGTGTTCGTCAGACTTTGAGAGATATGAATTTGCTAAAGTATATTCACATATTGAGGTAAAGTTGGTTTTATATTCACACATTCAGACTTTCATCTACTTAATATAATTTCAGAAAAGTATTTTTGCAAATCATATTAGCAGCCAATGAATATCAAAATTCCCTGTGTTCAAAGCCTTAAAGGTATATTGCATGCATTTTATGCTAAATTTAACGCAAATGTGACAGGACTGACAGAAACACGGGTATAATTGCACATTTATTTTTATTATATATTTGTAGTATTTATTTGTAGAATTTATTTATAATTTTAATCAATTGCTGTGAATGATAACAATTTAAACTTGGTAACACTGCTGAAAAATCCAGCTTAAACCTGCCTATGCTGGTTAGCTGGTTTTAGCTGGTCAACTTGGTTTTGACCAGCCTGGTTTTAGAGGGATTTTGGCTATTTCCAAGCTGGTTTCCAACCATTTCCTGACTGGTCTTAGCTGGTCAGGCTGGAAAATTACCAGCTAAAACCAACCTGACCAGCCTGGTTTAAGCTGGACATAGCTAGTTTTGGCTGGTCAAGCTGGTTTTAGCTGGTCATCTCCCAGCCTGACCAGCTAAGACCAGGCTGGAAATGGCCAAAACCCCTGTAAAATCAGGCTGGTCAACCAGCCAACCATCATAGGCTGGTTTAAGCTGTATTTTTCAGCAGGGAAGTATTTGTTTTCTAAATAAGATGTAGGTTCAATTGAGCTGAGGACAAGGACAATGACAGGGTCTGTACATTTGTAAAGTGTTTTAAATAGAGAACAAAAATCTGAGAACCAAATTAATGACATATTCCTTTACAGAACAAACTCAGAAATCAACCATCAGTCCATTTTTAATAAATTTGGATGAAATATTTTTATTTACTGTATTTGTTTTTATTTTAGGGACAGATATTGTACGTTTCCTGTAGAATGTCCCCTAAAATAACATGTAATTCTCACTTAAAAACAACATTTGCACAATTTAATCGACCGTGAACAATGTTGGACTACTTTGATAGTAATTGGCTGCTAATCTGAGTGATTTCCCTATTTAGAATTTCCAAAGACTACTTTTCTGAAAGTATATTATAAGGATGAAGCCTGAATGTGCGAATATTAACCAACTTTACCTTTGTAACGTTAATTGAGTTTTCTTTACCCCAACACTGGTGGTGGTTAACACTAGTGACAGCATTGATTATGTAGGTTATACATAAAGAGCCATCGCGTATAATATTGATCTATTTTTTTAGTTAAGTTATTGAATTGCTCAGTAAATTACTGTACTGACCAGTTCTCCATCATCTCTTTGATAGCATTGGCAGGCCGCTGGATAATCTCTCCGGCTGCGATGCGGTTCACTACAGTCTCGTCGAGTCTGCGGATGACTCCCGCCATCATCAACTCATTCACTAGATCACAAAGAAACACTCAGACGGATTCACAATTGTAGAATAGAAAATATTGCAAAGCCAAAACACGTGAAGGTTTGTTTACGTCCTACAGCACACCCGCAGAAGTTCAGGCGCGAATAACGAACGGCCGCCTCCTCGCCGAGAGCTGTGATTGGCTGCTGTACGAGCTACTTCCGGAAAAGTTACTCACTCGAAGTGGCGGTAGACAGATGTTCCTTCAGAGGTGCAGGTATCCACACCATACTAGGCTTATGAAAACGCAATAATGTACATTTCAGGTAACTATATTAATTGTATTATTTTTTATGGCTGACAAGTGTAAATAAATCACTAAACGAACGATGGAAAACAGCAGAAGTGTTCCTGTCAGTAAGCCGAGCAGCCAGAATAAAAGTTTTTAAACTAGTTTATAACCCTTTAACTGCCTGCTAGACCAAATGGTTGACAATGCTTTGATTGTTTTAAATAATATAGAGGTACAGTTGGTTTTATGTTTGCACATTCAGACATTCTCCTCAATAATATTTCAGAAAAGTTGTCTTTGCAAATTTTAAATAGAGAAATCATATTAGCAGCAGTGACTATTAAAGTACAACATTGTTTACAGTCAATTCGATTGTGATAATGTTGTTTTAAAGTCATACTTGCATGCTATTTCTGATCAAATATTTTATTTGCATGTTAAACAATATAGAGACAGTTAAATTAACGAATGTGCGAATATAAAACCAACTTTACCTCAATTTAAAGAATGACTGTTTTAAATAATGGTTTACACACACAGCATTGTTGGTTTACAAAAAAAAATTAATCCTGTTGCACTTCTACTCTTGATTTTGGTGTTATTGTTAATAAAAAAAAAAAAAAGCTGAATGTTAAAAAATGTTAAATAAAATTCTTAAATATTTTATGGCATACTTAAAAAATAAAGGTTATTTAGTATTCAGAAATGTTTTATTTCCATTATGTTTTTAAATAAATTGCTTTTACGCTTCATATTTTCACATTTTTCATAGTAAATGTATTAATTCCGGTACTTCAACCATAAACCGACACATCAACCTCTACTAAATGGTTGAAATTTTGGCATGTGTTGAAAAAAATGCATTGAGTGTGTTAACTTGCGACATTAGGAGTTAAGAAATTAACTTTTTTTTGATAGTGGGGCAGTTGAAGGGATAATTAAATTAGTCAAATACGAGGCTATATTTCCAATACTTTTTCTATCACATTATTATTCTATTTCTGGATGGATATCAGAATGTTCGAAGCTTTAAAAACAACAGGTAACGTTAAAGATGCAAATAATACAAATAAAGCCAACTGGAAAATTAAGTTAAAGGATTTAAGAACCATTCAAGACAAGTAAATTAAATCTAACAATACAGGTCATCAGTACACAGTGAGTATGTTTAATGAAATGCTGCTCTCTGTGGTTCACCAGATTTATTGGTCTTAAATTTTTAAACCAGTTGCAAGATTTGTTCATTCATTCATTTTTCTTCTTATTCGGGCCAGTGTTCTTTAGAGAAATGCATTTCTGCCGTAAAATGCACCCCCTTCATAAACTTTCAATAGCATTCTCAAATCTACATTAAAAAAAAGTCCATAACTGATTAAAACGTAGACTAATATGATTATTATTTTGATGGATCAAGCAAGAACAAGAAATGAAATGCATTTAAAAACTAGGTTTATAAAAAAAATAATAAAAATATAAACTAGGTTTAGAAATAAACAAAAAATAAAATTATTGACTGTAGTTTAAACTGATTTAATGAGCCTTGTTCTAAAAATTAGGCTTTTTTGTTGGATTTTAAACATTTGTCATAATTTTCACCTAAACCACACATTAAACAATTCACTTTACTTAAACTAATCGGTATTGTATTTTAATTAAATCTATTTATTTAAGTGTATTTAATTTTCTCCTTTGTTTTTAAATTTTCTGGTGTAATTTAATGTGCAGTCGCAAGTCTATGTATTTTTTTTTTGTTTAATCAAATTTTTTTCCTATTCGTACTGGTTTTATTTCTGTACGAATTTATTAAATTCATTCATTTTCTTCAATGCATGGTCCCTGATTTATCAGGGGTAGCCACTCTGTAATGAACTGCCCAGATTTATTAAAATCATTCATTGATTTTCCTCCGGCTTAGTCCCTTTATTAATCGGGGGTCGCCACAGTGGAATGAACCATTAACTTATCTACCATATTTTTACCCGCGGATGCCCTTCCAGCTGCAACCGGGTACTGGAAAAAACCCAAACACACTCATTCACACACATACACTGCGGCTAATTTAGTTAATTCAATTCACCTATAGTGCATGTCTTTGGACTGTGGGGGAAACCAGAGCACCTGGACAAAACTCATGCTAAAACAGGGAGAACATGCAAACTCCACACAGTAATGCCAACTAACTTAGCCGGGACTTGAACCAGCGACCCTCTTGCTGTGGGGCGACAGTGCTAACCACTGAGCCACTGTCACCCATTAATTAAATTATAGTTATTCATTTTTTATGATTTGTATAATTCATATTTAAATCAAATATTTGTTTATGTTTGTTCTTTCATTCTTTCATTCACTCATTCATTTTCCTTAAGCCTATTTTCTTATGAACCAGGAGTTGCCACAGAGGAATGAACCGCCGTATGTTTGTTTATCCTAATAAAATATTGTGTTATTAATTATTATAAATAATTTAATGAATAACTTTAAGTTAATTTTCACAATAAATACTGTTTTATTAAAACAGATAGAATCATGATGAATCCTATAAGGTGGACAAATCTTCATGACTGCTTCACTGTATTTCCATAACGTACAAACATTGTGATGATTAATAAAACCTGTTGAAATGTGAGTGACTGTTGCCTGTTTGAACTCCATAACCGCTGAATGTGTCATGGATAAATACAGAGCTGTTGCTTTAATTGATGGTGGCTTTCAGCATAAATTATGCATATGTGGTTTTCAGATTGCTGGTTTGTTAAGAAAGCGACGTAAACAACAGGAAAACTACCGTTTGTCAGCTATTTTAGACTAGTCTATCCAAGTGGAAAAGTGTTGGTTGCTAGTGAAAAATGCTGATAAGTGTAAAATTTTATATTATAAGAGGTCTGTTTTTGTGCACAGTGTGAATCTCTTGCTATATATATATATATATATATATATATATATATATATATATATATATATATATATATATATATATACAGTCCAAAATATATTTGAATTGTTCAGATGCAGAAATATATAAGAATTCGGAATAAAATATTTATAATAAGCAAAGTATATTTGGGTTTATTTATTTTATTTAGTGAGCAAGATTGAATGCTTTATGCCATTGCAAAACAACGATCGGTTCTTTGATTTTAGAATCCATTTTTATAGAGAAACTGCTTTTTAGAGTAATGATTATTTATAGTGTTAAATAGGTCAGAAAACAGCCAGCAGGAGGCAGAAGACAATAGGTTTTTTGTGTAAGGGTTGGTGGTTAAAAGGAGGGAGCTCTGATTTGTCGGTCTGTGGATGATCCAGTGCAATAAAATTTCTCTTACGAAAGTCAAATAATTTGCCCGAGGAAGATGTGCTGAGAAATCAGGTTGACACAGCTGACAGACCTTTCTGTTCAATGAGTCACAAATGCAAGCATGCAACTTGTCTTGACACTTTTCAGAAACACTTTTTCCTTTAAAAAAAAAAAAAAGAGACATTTAATGTTTCACAAATATATGAAGGTTTACGCAGAAATAACTGTTTATGGGTCAGAATAAAATTTTTTTGGTTTGCATCAAATTCAGTTAACTTTATTCCCTTTTTTAATATACACAAAGCATATTAAGCGTAAGTGTTTACTTTTTTGGCCCAAATTTTCAGAAATATGTCAAGTCATATTGTAAAAAATTATCCAGACATGTTTGTATCAAAATATAGACTATTAATGATCATACTAAATTGTATTACAATTTAACTTGACCAGATTCTTTTTGACGAATGGTTCAAACCAATTGGTTTGAAAGATGTTAGTAATATGCTAATTAAATAATGTTGTTTAAGGGTAAACAGAACTACCTCCACAGTCCAAAGACATGCTCTAACTGAATTTGTAAGCAAAACTTGATTGTTGTGTGTGTGTGTGTGTGTGTGTGTGTGTGTGTGTGTGTGTGTGTGTGTGTGTGTGTGTGTGTGTGTGTGTGTGTGTGAATGTGAGAGTGTATGGGTGTTTTACAGTACTAGTTAGCAGCTGGAAGGGCATCCGCTGTGTAAAACATATGCTGGAATAGTTGGTGGTTCATTCCGCTGTGGCAACCCCTGATAAATAAAGGACTAAGCCGAAGGAAAATTAATCAACTACAGTTTAGTGAGCATCTTCTGTATATCATATTTAAAATACAGGTAACAAATGTATTTTAGACATAAAAAAAGATATAAAAAAAGGACACATTTTACCTTACAGAAAAAAGTAACTGTATTTTACTTTAAGTATACTCATTTTCCTCATTTTCCGTTTGAATGGTTTCTAAACTAAAAAGCATTGGTGGCATAGATTTGGGTGAAATATGCCTTTAGGAAGATTCTCATTTTGGCTGTCCCCACATTACTTTTCATTGTCTCCATGTCAGTTACAGAGACCAGTTTTGGAAAAATGGATAAACTCCCATCCAGTGTTTCCAACCCAGTCCTGTGGTTTTTGAGCTGCACACACTCCTCTTGCTGTTGTTGGACAAGTACATCTTTCCTCGCTCGCTCGCATGTAGGTATGTGAGGAATTTTTTCTCTTTGTTCTTTCATATTTTGAATGCAAATTTTAAGTATACCTGAAACCAGCTCCCTTCCCCTCTGGGTTGAACTGTAAATCTTTTTTTTTCAGCCGTGTCTTGTGTTTGCAGTATCTATAGTGGCCTGATTTCAGTGTTAGTCAGACCTGTTCAATCAACAGCTCTGACTGACACACAACAAGAATGTATGTGGGCAGCATTCTCCTGTCTAGTCTCTTACATACTTTCTCTAAAACATATCCAGCAATCTATTTTCTATATGTTTCTGTTCCTCTTTGTATAAATGAGTTAAACATATTAAATTATATATTAAAATTATTAAAATAAATATAA